GTGATCTGCGTAACTTTTCCGGCAGAAGGCACACGACCTGCTCGTCTCCATGGAGATGTTAGTGTTTTGCCTTTAATGTTTCACAGCGTGGTGCTGAAAGCATCTATCTCTGTAGAGACAAGCATGTGCCAAGCTGCAGGTAAGATCTGTGCAGAAACTCACTCATTGTTTGTTTGTATATAGGTATAGGTATATTGCAATAAAAAATATATATACTAAAATAAGGTTAATGCCATACTGTGGAACACTGCAGGCAACATCAAAATCTACATGGAGAAAAAAGGTGACTGATATCTAATTAGACGCAGCCGACATATTTTGATCTCAAGAGCTGATTATACAATATATCTGCACTGGGGCCACACAAATTCTGCTCAAATACATGAACAAAAACACTGCGTACAGGCTAGGATTGTCAAAAATATCAAAAAATAAAACCAGGGCAAAAATAAAACATCTTAATTGCATTAATGGCATGAGTTCCTGTGATTAATCATGATTAATCTCATGTTATACGCAAACCCATGAATTAAAAAGTAGCATATAGCAACTTTTATTGAAAATGTAAATGAAAATGCCACACATCTGTTGTTCAAACAGCATTTGTTTAAACAGCAGCAGGGCTCTAGTCGATAAAGTCCATGTTTATACTTCTTCCTTTGGAGAATCTTACTCCAGAAAAAAAAACAAAAAAAAAACAAGAACCAATTTCAATGCAGTTTATCAATTCCTAGAATTTGACTTAATGAACTGAATTCAAAAGTAAAGTGCATGTGATCAGCAGCAGTAAAATAAAAAAGTATTCAGTGTAAATCTCAACTGAAAAAATCAAACCAAATACAAAACTGAAATGTATCGTCATTGTCAGGGCATTAATGTTTGATATAAAAATGGAGCAACAGCACTGACATGTTGCATCTCACATGGTCGGCCGAAGCCTCGCTCCACTTGTTTCACTGAATGATTTGCCAGCATCAACAGAGTGTGTTGCATTTAGGTCATATTTCAGACTCGTGAAACTTCAGCGATAAGACAATTCAGTGTTGCAGTGGTTACAAATGACATCGGCTGTGTCAACTGTGGCGTCTGGAAGAATTTTAAAATGATGATAATAAAAACTGCATTAAGGGGAGAAAAATAATTGTCAGTGATAATGAATTAATTCTTTAACGCAAAATTAACGCATTAATGTGCCCAGCCCCAAATAAAACCTATACTAAAACTAGTATCAAAACTTGATACTGTGTAACATTTCGAGGGTCCACCACCTGCTTGTCTCCATGGAAATGTTATTGCTTTCTTTAGAACAGTGCTTCTCAATTATTTTCTGTCATGCCCCCCCTAGGACGAATAAAACATCTCGCGCCCCCCGCGTGACTATAGATAGTATCATTTGTCTATAAAATTGTTATAAGTACAACTCTGCGTAACACTGCCACCTTATATGACGCCAACAACGCTCGCTGGTTTACTGAAGTAGCAGTCACAAAGCGGGATGATTGTCGGCAATATTCGGCACGTTTTCGCTGAAAAAACTCAAGCGGCTTATCAGAGTGATTGGGGTGTAATGTATTTAAGTGACGCCTTAATTTATTGGGCTTCATGCTGTCGGCTGCCAACATTTTTAGACGCAGTAAGCACACCGGTCTTTCCTCGTCTCCCACCGTAGTCACAGTGAAGCCAAGCGCTACATACGCTTCGTCATATTTCCTCGTCTTAGCTTTCGGGAGATTTTCGTTTGTCTCTTTATCTCCGTCTCTCTCCGCCTGTCTTCTCATCCCTGTTAAATATTTTTTCATGGTGTCACTTGAGGGTCTGCTACACTTCGTGTCTACACTTCATACTCAAACTCTGTGCTGTGTGCAAAGCGCGCATGCTCAGTGCAAACAAAACTCCTACACCACCGAGCGAATGCTCCCTGCGCACACTCTGCCAATGAGAGCGCCACTGACCCCTAATGTAGTGGAAGTGCAATTGCACTTTATTCTAAAGGCCCGTTCAGACCAAAGCGTCAAAGCGTCCACTTTCTACGTAAAGTCTATGTGGACGCGCGACTAGAGCGTCCTGCGTTTTTGCGGCGCGTTTTCGGCGTCAGCGCGGCGCGAATCTGGCGTCAGCGCAGCGCGTCTTCAGCGTTTTGGCGTCAGCGGCCAAGACGCGCGTCCAAGGCGTCAGCGTCAAGAAGTTGAAAATGCTGAACTTTTCGCGTCAGACGCGCCGCGTCAATCAATCAGGGACGAGTATCCAGAGACGCAGCGACGTTATTATCAGGAAGAAAGACCCGAGAACCAGAACGAGAACCACAAACATGAGCGGAGCATAAATATATACGCCACAATCACCGAGCCGATCGCGAGGACTACACCAGAACCGGACCAGGACCAAACCAGGACTAGACCGAGACTAAACAAGGACTAGACCGAGACTAAACAAGGACTAGACCGGGACTAGACCGTGATTAGACCAGGACTAGACCGGGACTAGACCGTGATTAGACCAGGACCAGACCGGTATTAGACCAGGACTAGACCGGGACTGATCCAGTGTCATTAGCGGAGTATAAATATATATACGCCCCAGTCGTCGACCCGATCTCCTCCTTTGATGTTTTATGTCATAAAAACACTCTCTCAGTCTGGTCTGACATTGTTTCGGGAAAAGAGCGGGACCGGGCTCTTGTTTCCAGGGCAACGGACGCGCGTCAAGTATTTTTGTCCCGTTCGTCCACGGCGTCAAAGATGCGCGTCGGGGGCGTCTAAACTCAAATGCAAAGGCTCCAAATAGAGGCGTCAAGGCGTTTTTTGACGCTTTGGTGTGAACGGCCCTTAAGACAGTAAAAAAAAAAATCAAAATAAAAAAATAAAAAAGCATGCTCCCCGAGGTCAAACGCGCCCCCCTTGACGGAGCCTCGCGCCCCCCCAGGGGGGCGGCCCCACTATTTGAGAAGCACTGCTTTAGAATGTTCCACAGTATAGATTAAATCTGTCTATCATGAAGGAAATAAGCAGGTTACAGCACTATGCTACATTACAGTTCAGATCTGTGGAGAGTCGCCCCTATTCACAAAAGGAATTATTGTATTTTTGAGCAACAGAAACACCCATAATGAATAAATGCTTGATGGATGATGTAATGTCATACCATGGAACATTCCACACATCACTATAGCATCTCCATGGAGACAAGCAGGTGGCAGACCCTCCACCAGAAAAGTTGTGCAGTGCACCTTTAAACAGGTATCGATACTACAAAAAAAGTCACATTCACAGGACACAAATGAACCTTTCCTGAATAGCTTTAGAATGATCTAATAACTTATACATATTGTTACATCCCTTCTGTTTAGCACGTTAACACTTAAATGACCCTTAGTGTTTCAAAACAGTTTCAGATTCAGCCCCTTTAAAACATCGGAGCAGCCAGAACAGAAGCCTCTGTAGTCAGGCTCAGTGTGAATATTTCAGATGCTGCAGAGCTGTTGTGTTCCTGCTCATATAAGACGCCCACTGGGAATTAGACATGGCTCCTCTGCACGCCATGGCTTTCAACTGACACACAAACACTGTAACATACAAACGCTCACTACACGGCTACGCATGGGGTCCAGCTTCATTTTTAGAGACCACTTTCCCTCATTCAAAAGAGAGGAAAAAAGCTTAAGTCTTACTGATATGGATGTGAGAAAGTGTTTATATTTATTCATTTTGACTGCTGCAGTTTTGTTCTGTTGCGTTTTGTACAATAAAATCAAATCTGATCTTAAAACACACTTTTATTCTGGCTTTTAAATGCCCATATTACAGTATTTTCTCATCTGTTATAACGTTGTTTCCTCATCAAAAACACCATTCACATTTGTTTAACACACAAACCCTGCATATTTAAGTTGTTCTGTTAAACGGAAAACACCCTGTTCCACCTTATGATGTCACATGGTAACAGAGGTGGGACCAAGTCGTTGTTTTGCAAGTCTCAAGTAAGTCTCAAGTCTTTGACCTCAAGTCCGAGTCAAATCCCAAATCAAATACAGGCAAGTCCAAGTCGAGTCTCGAGTCACTGGTCCATAAGTCCAAGTCAAGTTCAAGTTGTCTGTTTTGAGCTTCAAGTCATTTCAAGTCTTTAAATTAAAGAAACAAATATATCTTAGATTTTTGCAATTTATATGAATTTTAAGATAAATTGTACTTTAAAAAAATCGAAGTATATTTATATACGAGTATTTATAGAGTATGTAAGAGTTGTAGAAATGGTAATTTTTCCTTTTTAAATGTCTTGACAAGATCTTAGAGTGAATCATTATGATCAGAATAGAAATAATTCAGATTTAAATGTGCTTCTCAAGTCTTCTCAAGTCACAGGCCTCAAGTCCAAGTGGAGTCCCATGTCTTAGTCCATTTTATCAAGTCAAGTCTCAAGTCCTAAAACTAGTGACTCAAGTCTGACTTGAGTCCAAGTCACGACTTGCAAGTCCACACCCCTGCGTGGTAATACAGGAAGTGCTCCACTGTGTTTTTAAACTTCACACACCTTCACTAGAATCATCTGAATGATTTCAGCCCATTTGTGCTGAACTAAATGTAAAAGGTAGCTGTTAACTTGAAAACTAAGGTGGAACAGAGGATTTTGAGCATTAGAGATGTAGACTGACTAATAATAAAGGATAACTCGAACGTGTTAACGAAACAAAACACAATGTCAGGTGTGTTTTTAATGAGGTAACAATATTCTAACATAGCTTAAAGCTCACAAGAGTCAATTTTTAAAAAAGACATTATCATAAAAAAACTGAAATTCCTGTTAGATGGAGAACCTTGGTGTTATTGCGGTGTATAGTTTTTTTTTGACTGCATCAGTCAATATTTCAGTCCTACCAAATGTGTTTTGTTTGTTTTGAACTGTCTTTGAGTGTCAAGAAAAGCACTACACAAGTGTTATGTCTTATTATTAGTATTATTATTATTATTACAAGCAGAGTGTCTGATAGAGCGCTGCACTCTTACCTATTCTCCCCAGTGAGGTCAGGACTCCTGCGGTGGAGCTCGGGCTGCTGGAGGCCTAAAAACAAAACAACATCTTATGAATTCTATCAGAACAAATCAATACAACTGCAGAGGAGCACAACAATAAGTATAAATACATTTCTATGACTCAAAGGTTAAAGTGGGTGTGAAAATAGAGAACGAACTGGCTAAAAGAAGCTACACCTGCTGATAGGGCTGTCAAAAGTATCAAAAAACAAATACTAAAGCTCAATGCTAAAGCTCAATGCTAAAGCTAAAAGTCCATGTTAAAAAGTCCACGCTAAAAACCCCAAGCTATAACTCAAGTGTTGGGGCAGCTTGGATTGGGCAGGTGTCGATACTGAAAAATGTATACTAAAAAAATGTATTTAAAAAAATCAGGTAACTGGATAAAATTGGACCTTGAACAGTTTCATCTTGAGTTTTCTCAGAAATAGTGCAAGACCACAAGGTATAACAAACATACTATTATTTTGTGTTGAAAATTACAATATTGTCCAAAAATGCTCATTTGGGTGTCGAAAATTTGAATCGAGAATATTCTTTAGTATCGTAATAGAGTTTCAAATGTTTTTATCGTGACAACAAAATTTGAATCGAGAATATTCTTTAGTATCGTAATAGAGTTTCAAATGTTTTTATCGTGACAACACTGCCTGCTGATGTTAGCGCTGTACAAAAGGCCTACCTGATACAACGATAATGATATTACTGTGATATTTTAATATACTTTTTGATGCAACATTTCAGTTAAATTAAAACAAAACACAAAAATACAAAAACAAAAGTACGTGCTTTAATTTACTAGATGAACAGTGTCAAAATAAACACTTAAAATGGACTAAATCAAGCAGAAGTTGTTGCTGAGAGTAAACAAACAAAATCTGAGAAAACTGAGAAAATGGTCAGGTTTTCTTTATCTAGATGTCATTATATTCTTTCTTTTTTCTTTTATAAATTGCCTATTCATTTGTGTATTATAATTTGTCAAACTTAATTTAAAAAAAAAACATTGTAGTGTTCTGTTATGTTCTGCAGATCAACAGAAGAGAACCAGGTGCCTGTGAGTGACATCGCCCCGTCCCCCGTGAAAAGCTTTGGCAGGTTGTGAAGACGCTGCTGCTGAATCCATGGTTTTATCACATGCCCTGTGTCGGGAACTACACCGGAAGTTGCCATCCACATGCTTCCAGTAAGCGTGAATAGAGCCAATTGTGCATCCCTTGCGTACAAGGTGCACTTTGTCTTCATTTATGCATTTTATAATTCTCCAATAGAATGTTGACATCTCCCTGTGTCTGTGTGTTTGGTGTGACTCTGTGCTGCATCCAATTATCGAAAATCAAATCAAGATGAAATTGTTTTACATCGTTAATCTCGTTATCTATTGGTTCATGTTTATCTGGCTTCACCACGTCCACAGTTGATGGATTTTCTTTTTTTTTTTCTTCTTTTGGTCATTAAAATGACAAGGCTGAAGGATCTCTATAATACCATTTTTGACTTAAACTGACAATTTGAAACCAAGGCCCAGGGTTTCAAAATGGCCGCCCATTTAAATCGATGGGCCGAGCTCAATGGCGCATGATTCCAGATTAGCCTTTAGCCTGGTGAGGTTCTTCCGGTGGCTGTGGGCCAACTGAGCATGTGCAGTAGTGTCTTTTATCCGGCGGGCACACGCGAATGCACACAAGCGCACGTACGGAGCGTGGGCTTGTGTATCACATGATCACTTTGACCAATCAGAGTTTGAAAGTAAAAAAAAAAATAAAAAATCCTTCATACAACCTTAAATACATTACATCACAAGAGTTACATACAAACGATTTCAAAATGGTCAAATTCAGTCTGCATGAGCTTACCATATGTGCTGTGATGCTCCTGTGTAGAGGCAATGCTTGTCTGACTGCCCCCTCCTGGTGAAGTCTGGTACTGAGCATCGGCAACCTGGAACCTGCTCCAAGACTCAGCTTATCCCTACTGCTGCTACCACCAATACTGCTATTACTTCTGTTACTACTACTGCCTTGTAACGCTCGTGCAGAGAGCGTCGCCATGAGTTCAGACTGGCTTAGGGACCCCACTGGCTCCTTGCAGGCTTGGTTGGCCATTCTGGTGATCCCCCTGGCCTCCATTTTGGATATCAACTCTGGCCGTTTCCCTGGCGATTCCACCTTCACCCCTCTTAAATGCGGTGGGAGTGGCGAGACCGGTTTGACTAAAGTTTGTGTCTCAAAAGTTCTGGAAGTACCATTCGGAGATGACGATGTAGGAATGGGCGAAGAAGACGGACCAATATGAAAAGACGGGGACATTCGGAGACCATCTTGAGGACTCGAAACGTCCAACGTCAACGGATCGCTCAATTCGGCGAACTGGGGCTGCGTTTGCGCCATGAGTCCGGCGGTTTCCTCGAGCAAACTCAACCCGAGCGCGTCGCCAAGGTTCTCGCCAGGGTCCAGAATGGCTTCCGGCGCCGCCCTAGTGCATAGAGGCGGGAGCTGGGGGTAAACGCAGTCCCGCATGAGTCGCCCGCCCATGTCCAGACGGGACACCTTGGGAGGGGGGCGGATGTTGGCGAGGGGAGGGCAGGTGTCCCACTGCTCGTCCTGGAGCATGTAGCAGGAGGGGGAGGGGCGTCTGGGCAGGGGCAGGTGGGAGGGGTAGGGCTCGGTGGGGTCCTGGTCCTGGATGGGAGGCAGGTGGGAGCTGGAGGGACGGCCGGGGTGGAGGTGGGAGAGAGAGCGGAAGAGCCGGTGGTGACGGGGAATGGAGGAGGAGGAGAGAGAGGGAGCGCCGGGGTGAGGGGGGGCAGGGGGGCGGGGCTTCGCCTTGGCAGATTTCTTGGGCTGGAGAAAAAAAAGGAAAGACAAATCTGATGTTAGCTTTGAATATAAAACTATACAGGACAAAGAGAAGTTCTGCACTATCATCTTAACCTGACTAACACCAGAGTGATAAGACTCTGAAACAGCTCTTACTGAAAGATTAGGACAAATGATCAGAAGGTTCAAAACTAAATACTTAGGAGTTGCGAAAGCATCACAACAGCAGAGCAGGCTCAAAAATGAAATGTTTGTTAAATCCAGTAGAGAGAAAAGCATAGACATATCCCCTGTCCACACATGCACAAACACTTCTCTCTGCACACATTTCACAAACAAATAGTTCATATTTCTGCTGAAATTGGCTGTAGAACATCTGTTTGTTTTGGTTTTTTCGGCGCTGGCTTTGGTCCAAACCACATTGCTGCTCTATGACTGGTCAGTGATACAAAACCTATCACAGCTGGAGCCAAACAAGACCAGTTCTCAGTAAGTTGTAAAGTCACAAAATTTGTGACAACTCTTCCCGGTAAGGTTACTGACATGCTGTTTTTTAAATAGATGTTTTTCTGGCCAGCCCTATATGGAATACACATTAGACTTCTTCTGGCATGTTTTTGACATTATTACTTGCAATGGTGGAAGGTAACAAAGTACAAAGGTAAAAGTACAATAGCTGAGTAAAATTTTTGGTATCTGGACTTTACTTAAATAAATTCTATAGTGGATACTTTTTAGTTCATTACATTTGAACATTTGAGAACATGTATCTGCACTTTTTACTCCACTACATTTTAGACCTGGATTGAAAAGTAAAAAGTATTTTTCTTTATGGTTTGTGACCTGTTAAAATGGCTGAGATTTATTTTTAGCAGGTTTAATTTGAGTTAACATCCCAATTTTGAGCAAACCAAATACACAAATGTACAAAAACAGCTAAAAATTAAGAAATCTTTTGAATCATATAAAATCTGCTGAATTGTTTATCAAAATCACTATATTTACCTCCGCCAAGGAGGTTATGTTTTTGCCGGCGTTTGTTTGTTTGTTTGTCTGTTAGCAACATAACTCAAAACGTTATGGACCGATTTTGATGAAATTTTCAGGATTTGTTGGAAATGTGAAAAGGAAGAACCGATTTCATTTTGGGGGTGATCCGGAAGAAATCCTGGATTCTGGATCACTTTGAAATTTTAGTTAACATTGTGGTAAATGGGGCCAAAAATTTTGTTTCTCAATATCTCGGTTAATTATTGACCAAACCCCATGAAATTTGACTCAGGGATGGACAATGGGATCCTCTTTCATATTCCAAAGGCTGATCCGGATCTGATCCAGAAGACTGATTTTATCGCAATTTATATAAAAAATGGGGGTAGTCCTTGGCGGAGGTCTGCGCTCTCTGAGTGCTTTTCTAGTTGATGCTTTAATTATTCTAAAACTTGCAAAATACTGTTACTTTTTACCATTTAAGTACATTTTTAAAGAGCTACTTTAATACCTTTACTAAAGTAGATTTGTTCAGGTGATACTTTTACTTAAATAACAAAAGTAGTACATCATCCACCACTGATTATTTGGTAGAAATCTGCAAAAAGTCAAATAGAATACATTCTCTGGCTTGCCATGACTGTGCACACTGCTAAAATTGACTATAGTGCTCTCTCAGTTCATTTGTATCAAGAAAATTCACCTAAAATGATAGTCTGAAATGTAAACTACAACAGACTCTCAGGCACAAACCATCTTATAATTCTCTCATCCCTCCAAAAATAAAGCATTGTACTTTTAATCTAGACTACGACATCAGCGCTGAGAACAGGCTGCCAATACACTGTCCATTTTGACCATTTTTCCTTTTTACTTGAACAAAAAACCTCATTCCACAAGTGTACTTTCCTATTACACCTCTACACCTGCTCCTTTTGGTGTCCGGTGTGTGTTCCATCTTTATCTGAGCCCCGTACCTTCTTGTTCAGGTTCATGTCTTCCATCTTGGCTTTGAGCAGTCTCATTTTGGTCATGGTGATGGAGTTCTCACGCCTGTGTTGAGCTGCAGCGCTGTCCCCCTCCTCCTCCTCTTCTGTGTAAACGTTATACACAGAACCGCCGCTGGGAAATAGAAAACAAATATTGATTTAAAATGACCTCCGCGCATTCTGCAGTGTAATTATAGACGTATAGCTAATCCAAGTAGGGAAGCAAGATTAAGATAAGAGGTAAAATTGGATTAGGCTGATGCTTTTGTTTGCTGTAGACGGAAAGAAATTCAGTGTGTTTATTAGGAAATGTTGATACTTTGCAGCTGATGTCATCAAAATTACCTGGGGGTCTGGTGCTAACTGAAGGCACTACTCTGTTAGAAGCTGTGTTACTCCAGCTAGACCTAATCTTACTCTTAATAATGCAGACTTAAAAGGTACTTAAATGTGTTTTGTTTAAACGCACAAACCCTGCAAATTTAGGCCCCGTCCACACTAGTACCGTATTTTAGGGGCTATTAGGCGCTCTGGATTATAAGACGCACAAATGGTCTATTTTTGAACTTTTTTCCACAAATAAACCACACCGGACTTTAAACGAAACCCAACAGTTGGATGGGTCAGTGGGACTTTGTTTGTCTGGGACCGCTGGATTGTTGGTGTGTTTGCAGTGACTCAGTTGTGGCTCAGAAAGGCACATTGGACTCGCTTTTTCGGTTCGTTCCTCCGTTCCAATCCTCGTCCGCTTGGAGTGATGAGTGTGTCTGTGGACGTTTTTCGCTGCGCGGTCGCTGTCTGCTCCGTGTGTGTTTGCGTGCGCTGCGGGTGGTGCAGGTCTATGTGCAGTGAAGTAATTCACCACCAAAACACTAAGAAGCTAAAATATATGTCTATTCATATATACGCTCTGTGTGTATGACCTGCAGACGTATAATCTCTGAAAAGTTTAACATGAATCATCTCCAACACGACAGAAGCACAGAACACCCCTGTCACAGAAAGAACACTCATATTCCACTGAGTCATGTCTTTTAGTCCAACAGAAGCTGAACAGCATTAGCGTACAACAGGAGCTGTTTTTTGAGTGCTTAGTGTATGCAAATTAGCCATGCGGTTTTATGTTTTGTTTCAGTAAAACATAAACAAATATGCTCAAAGCTGTGTGGACAGGGACGGCTTGCGGACACCGAAACGACGTGTCTGGATGCAGATAATTTCCGATACAGTGATACGGTGATTCGTTTCAGTGTAAACGTAGTCTTAGTTATTCTGTCAAACAGGAAATGTGGTACAGGTATAAAGGAATTACTCCACTGTGTTTTTAAACTCCATACACCTTCACTAGAATCATTTGAATGTGTTCAACCCTGGAATTGTCAATCTCTACTAAACTTAAAGGTAAAAGGTAAACTACTGCTTCATGACATCACAAGGTGGAACAGAGCATTTTGATTTTTGAAGATGCAGACAACCTAAAAATGCAGGATTGCTCAAACATGTGTGAAGCAAACAAAACAACTCTGCGTATGTTTTTAATGAGGTAACATTTTAATATCGCTTAACGTGCACAAAAGTCAAGTCTGCGTAATATAGGACCTTTAAATTTGAACTGAACTCCACCTCAATAAAACTAAAATAGCTAAATCTAACCTCATGGACTGGGAGAGGGGCGTGAGGGTCCCGTCCCCTCTGTCCACCACTCTGAAGAAGTTGAGCTGGTCTCCGTCTCTGTAGACCACAAACGTGACCTGTTTACTGTTCGCAGCCTTGTCCCAGCCCTCCTCTTTGGTGCTTTCCATCAACTCAGATACGTCCTTCGTGGGCTCCTCCATGGTCACTGGAACATAACAGAAGTGTGTCGTCATTTTACTGCAAAGTCAAGACATGAAAAACTGAATAGGAAAGCTTGGGGGATATTCTGTCTTTGCCATAGACTGTAAATGGACAGAGATGTCCAAAAACATAACTGGAGTTGTGTTTTCTTTCATTCACACATGTTGGAGTAATTCTTTATTATTTCTCTGGCTACATTTCCAAAGCTCAAAATGTCATAATTTAGCATAATAATTATAATGGATGGTTTTACATTGTGCTTTTTTTTGGCCACTCAAAGACACTTTACAGAGCATTACTTCAATTCACTCCACACTTGGTGGTGGGTAGCTACTGTTGCTGCCAATCTGCGGCATTGGCCTCTCTAACCACCACCAATCATGCGTGCACACACCTCTCTCATACTAGGCAATACGGGGGAAAGTGTCTTGCCTAAGGACACTTGGTCATGAAGCGGAAGTTTTCAAGTTAACAGCTACCTTTCATCTTAAATTCAGTAGAGATTGGCAATTCCAGGGATGATCCAAATGATTCTACTGATTGTGTATGGAGTTTAAAAACACAGTGGAGCACTTCCTGTATTACCACATGACATCATAAGGTGAAACAGAGCATTTTCAGCTTTGAAAATAAAGCCAGACTAATAATGCAGATGTGTGAAGTGTGAATACAACAAAACAGAACTCCAGGTATATTTTTGATGAGCTTTAAGCCATGTTACATTGTAACAAGATTCAATTTTAGCTTCAAGCTTCAATTTTGTATAATATAAAGCTGGGTCCCTGGTTTTATTCTAAATCCTTTCCCCTGCAGAGTTTTTTTTAAAAGCAGCACTTTGTGACAAAATCACAGTCTGCATCTAAAAATATATTTTATCGACCAAGACATAAAAGCAGTGAGCGTCGCCAGGATTGACTGAGCATTGCCGTTCCTGCTTCACTTCCTTTAGTGAAAAAGCTGCTCTAAAATCACACACCCTCCCACAAATCTATGAATGTGACTATTACTAATGTGCCCAGGGGTTTGGAATACTATGGCCAAAGGAGCAATATTTCCATAGAAACAAGCAGGAGTAGATCTGTTTTTTCTGTACAATCAATCAATCAATGAAGAAAAAAAAAAGTTCCTGAAGCTTTAAAAAAAGAACGTCTTGGTTGAAAAAGTAGAGCTAAATCTACATTTACATAAGCATTTTCCATAGACTGTATATATATATATATAAATGAATATTGCCAAGCCTCTAGCCGCCACATTCCAAATAGGAAGTGAGCATGAGCCTGATTCAGACTCCATCAACTCCAATTCCGGCTCTTCATTTTGGTCTTAAAATGCTCGTATTAACCAGCTCTACATGATCCTTGTGTTTTTATTTTTCTATTTTGTCTGTAAATCAATTCACTCCTATAACTGCAAGTCTTAGTCCACTTCTTTAAACACTCTTTCTCGTGCAGTAAAAGTCCGTATACTTTTACCTTTCCTGGTGTTAATTGGACCTCCCCTCATGGCCAGGACCAGCTTCAGTGTGCAGCCCTCAGCGATCCTGCACAAGAATATGAATCAAAACAGACAAGTCACACACTGAAACCAATTTGGGGCTGTATATATGGGCCAGAATATAAGGGGAGTGTGGTATAGGAAGTTCACTTTTAAAACAGGAGTCTATCAGGCCTAGTGGTCCTCTGAGGGGACGTAGATGAGGTTTGGGCCGGTGATGGGACTTCCTCTATGGCTCACGGCTCTCTCACTTCAGAGCAGCATGGTGGTCCGTTCACAGATAGTGGGAGATCTCAGAACAGACCCCTCATGTGGAAAATGGAGAGTTGGGTATTCACAAGAGCCCTGTCTGAGGTCGGGAGCTGCTAATGGGAGCCAAATTTACTCCGAGTGGCTTTAAAAGTTTAGATTTGACTGGATTACTCTTTATTGATACTTTGCAGGTGAAGGTACTGCTCTGTCTGAAGCTCTGTTAATCAAGTTTGACTTTAATCTGATCTTTGTTTTAACACAATCTGACCAGTATCAATTGTCTGTTTATGAGGGATGAGACGAGACAAAAGTTCCACGAGACGAGACGGGACACAAAATTGGGTCCACAAGAATGAGACAAAACGAGATTTTAACATAATTCCGAATCTATACTTTTCACAGTTCAGTTTCCAATTTTGGCCTCACAATTTTGTTATTTCATTTCATAGTTCTGTTTCCATTCTAGTACTGCTGTTTGGAACTGTAAGAGATATAACTCACATGTAACCCTTTTTTGTCCAATCCAAATGTAAACATATGGAAAAAAAAGTCACAAGATTTTTCTGTTCACGATCTTGTGGCAATTTTGTCTCATGAGATCTTGTACCATCCCTCCTGTTTATGGACAATTTCTTGTGCCACAAAAGGTGCACAAAAGAAATTACTATTTAGGTCAATTGTCATTCAGTAATTTTCTATTTTAATTTAATAGAGCTCTGGGCACAAAAAAGACCTCACCCGCTCCTCCTATAATACAGTTATAGAGGTGATCAGTCTAAAAAAAGGCCCATGAGCTAAAAACTAGGGCATTGATTAGTTGACTAAAAGGAGAAGAGGTACCAGTACGCTCTCACAATTATCAGAATATTGCACTAAAGCAACTATGTCTAAAGAGATGTGCTAGTAAACATTGTCAAGTAAACAAGTGAAAAGGAAGATTAAACTGTCCAGTCACTCCCCAAACTCCAAATAAGTCCAAATAAGGAGAATTCCTTTGTGCATCCTTAAATTAGAGTTAGACTTAAGGCCGCCACACACTACAGGATTTTTCAGTCTTAAACAGTGTTGGGAGTAACGCGTTATAAAAGTAACGAATTACAGTAATGCATTACTTTTTGCTGTAATGCAGTAATGTAAGGCATTGCAGGGGAAAAAATTGTAATATTTTACTCGGTACAAATGTGAGTAACGCGCGTTACAATGTTTTTTTAATCTGGATTGAAGTGGTGGGTTTTCTTCATACAAATTCGCTAAAATCACCTCGATATCAGCAGCGGTGAAACGCCGGAGATGCGCCCTCATAGACCTTCAGGTAACCGCGGGCGAAAGGACTGACAAAGAACTCCACGCTGTTTAGACCTGGTTTAGACCTGGGTCAGTTCTGGTTTAGACCGTTCACTTTTCGCGGTCTCGCTGTTTCGCAGATTTATTTATTTTTTTTGTGTGCAATTTTGCATGCCTTTTTTTTTTTTTACATTGTATGAATGCGTATTGCGTTCCTCCCGCTGCGTCCTGATTGGCTGAGGGACTCCTGTCTCCTGTACAGTACAGTACAGAATGTGTTCAGCTGCCAAATTTAAATACATGTTCAATCTGTATCAGTGTGATTCTGAAGTTCTGTACGGTTGCAAGTTTTCTCCCCGACGAAACCCACAACGTCGACGAAACGTTCTGCACCGACAAAAGCTCCTGCGCTCGCACCCAAAAGGCAGAGGAAGATGCAAACCATCACACAAAAAGTTAGACTTCTGAACACGCTGAAGGAAGGTAGAAGTTACTCGCTGTAACAGACTCTTGCACCGGCTCGGGTACCTGCAAATAGTTGCTGAAATCAGGGCCGCGAGCCCGAGCAGCAGGGTCCATAAAGAGCGATCGGGCGACAGCCGCTCTTACCTCCGTGAGGTGCGGAGCAGAGCCGCTCCTTTCTCCTGCGGTCACCTTCGAGCCCGTCCCTACAGTGAGTCCTGTTTTAGTCCTAGTTCAGTTCTGGTTTAGTCCTGGTTCAGTCCATATACAGCGCAAAAGTTATTTTGGTGAGAGTAACTTAAAGTAATGCAATAGTAATGTAATGCCTTACATTTTAAATGCAGTAATATTGTAATGTAACGAATTACTTTGAAATGACAGTAATGGGTAATAAATACCGCATTACAGTTTCAAAGTGACTTGCCCAACAGTGGTCTTAAACTATTTTTAAACTTGCAACAAAATGTGCACACCACAAACATGAAAATCTTATGACATTTCAAATCTCCGATCGCAAAGACTGTAGCGGAATATGACTGTGGACCACTTCAGCCGTTTCCTGTCTACAGTAAAACCACTTGCTTTGAGACTCTTAAGTGTTCAAAAGATCAGAGAACTGCACTTCTAGTTTAGATGCAAGTCAAAACTGTGTTATTATAATTTGTGAAATGTGGTGCAATATTTCACATACATGATTATCAATGCACAGGAAGAGGAGTCAGTATAACTAATCTGGAGCTTCACCTCGATCTGTCAGCTGAGTGGACACACGTGAGGAACTAGTATCACCTTTTTACTTTTAAAGAACTCTTCAAACTGGATTAACAGCTCTGTTTTTTGGACTGAGTGTCATTATCTGCTGAACACAAATGCTACAGACAACGTGGAAGAGATGTTGCAGTTTAAATGTACAGCTTTACAAAAGGTGTGAAATATAAATTTTTGCTGTTTCCTGAGTTTGTGTCTTGCACTTCTGTGTCTGTCAATGACTATGGTTTTTTGAGAAGCGCAGCGGCTTCAAAATCACACATTCATGCTGGAGACAGTGTGTGGCGGCCTTAAGACAAACTTTATTGATCCACAAGGGAAATTAATAACAAAGAGTAAAAAATATAAATGGTAATAATACATTCTAAATAAGTAGCAAAAAAGCAAGCAAGAGACAGATGTCAAACAAGGCATAATGATATAAATGCATATGTACAAGACAAAATAAAATAGAAAAATAAGTACCGTATTTTTTGGACTATAAGTTGCACTTTTTTCATGGTTTGGGTGTTTCCTGCGACTTATATTCCGGTGTGACTTATACATAAATACATCATTTTCACACTGACAGCCGCGAGAGGGCGCTTTAGGCTTGTGTGTCAGTATCTAGTACTACTATTACTCCTGTATCACTGTACCTTTGCACTCTACTGCGCATGCCTCCTGTAAAAAAAAGTTGCAGTCTTGCTGCAAATAGTGAAATATTCAGCCGAAAATGGTAATCAAGCAGCAAAAAGAAAGTTTGGAGTGAGCGAGAAACTTGTGAGGGACTGGTGGGGAAAGAGATCACAGCTTCACGGGAACCGGGCAGGTGCGCCATGTAACTTTCCTGGAAGTCGCTGGATGAATCGACAAAGCCTGAACTTCAATGACACCGAAACCATCCTGTCGAGATTCAGAAAGGCCGGAATAATTCTAACTGGAACTGATGTTGAGTCTGTCGACAGCTACACAGAAGAGGAAGCAGTGCTCTGTTTACATCATAGTTTTATGGTTTATCGCCAGAGGTTGCGCAGAAGAATTCAATGGATTTAGTGATTTGGAGTGAGATTGTGAGGTTGGTAAACTTATATTATGTTGTTTATGCTAGAATTATCTGAATAACTGTTAATATGTTACGTTAACACATTAAGGCCTATTCAGCATGTTGTTCTGTTTTTATTATTCAGTTACTTATTACTACTTTATTACTATAACTTGCCTTTCAAGATGAAATGTCGGTTCCTGGTCTCTGATTTTATAAAAGACATTTCCCCAAAAAGCGCGACTTATATACGTTTCTTTTTTCTTCACTGCGCATTTTTGGCTGGTGTGATTTATACTCCGGAGCGAATTATAGTCCGGAAAATACGGTAATAAAAAAAATCTCAGCTATATACAAGAGGTCATAAGGAAAAGAGTGCAAATTAAAAATGATATGATGACTGACAGGACATAGGGTTATCTGTTACATAAGGCTGAGTTGTTGTACAGTTAAAATCCAAATAAAATATTTAGTTGACCTCTAATAAAAATGTGGCCAACAAAAACTCAATGGATTAATCAATCAAGTAAACAACTAAATCTAGAATCCCTACTAAAAACTAGTGGATGTAAAAGGTGTAAAGACAGAAGTAGAGCTAAGAAGCGGGCATACTGACCCATAATCGTGCAGACAGTGCTCATCATCCAGCTCCACATTGTTCCAGATCAGGTGCTGCTGGGCCACAGGGATCCCTACACACACACACACACACAGATACACATATTACATTGACTTCTGACATTGGCAAAATTAGGTCAATCTATTATGGGGCCCAGATTCTTGCAGGAAAATATTTAATGAATAAAAAAAACAAAAACATCTGTTCAATGAATAATTCAAGTAAGCGAAAAGGCAGATTAAGTCTATAAAGTAATTATCGTGACAGGCCTAATAATTTAAGGATTTTTAATATTTTTAAATGACAAAATCTCCTTCGAAACGTGATGAAATACCAGGCCCCACCTTTCCGTGACATAAAGAGTAGTTTTCACTCTCCACATTGTGATAAATACATACCCACGCAGATACAGCGGGAGCGATCACCAGTGGCCCATTTACTCACCTACATCACTTACTTACTACACACAGAGGCAAAGCAGGCATCTATTATCACAACAAACACCAGTGAAGATGATACATGACTGCCCCCTACAGACACAACTGTACAACTGCAGAAAATGTACGTGACAGGTTTAATTTACCAGTGGATCATACATGTTCAAAGCTCAAAATGCACTAATGTCATGAAGCTGTAATTTTAGTTAACGGCTCCTTTTATCTTTTGTTCAGTAGAGATTTGCAATTCCAGTGTGATGATTCTAGTGAGAGTTTAAAAACATACTGGAGCATTACTGTATGAGATCACAAGGTGTAACAGAGTGTTTTAAGTTTGAGGGAAGAACTCTAAATATGCAGGATTTGTGTTTTAAACATATGTGAATGAAACAAAACACAACTCCAGGTATGTTTTTGATGAGGAAACAACATTATAACATAGATCAGAAAATGGAGTAACATGGGCCCTTTAATTATTTATCATATCTTTTTTAAGTTCTATGCCCGTCAGAGCACTATCACAACACAATCAGCATGCACCCCACTGTACATTGTATCAGGTTTGTGAAGTTGTAGTGCAGTTTTTTTTTATTATTATATGCTTTGTATATTTATGAAAAATTGTCAAGTAGGAGCATGGATAATACTCTAGTCTTTTGAAAGTAGATTTCTGCTCAGAGTGCACATTGTAAACAACCCCACGAGCATTAACATTTGAGACAAGACATGAAATCTGAACTGATAAACTAATGCGTTTGTAAATCTGAACTACAGGTATAAGATGATTTTTCTATACAAAGACAGTATATTTTTTTCCTGTATCTAAAAGCCTTTGCCAACTCAAATTGCAGTTTTGATTCAGTTCATTGTGCAGCCCTATTAAACAGTGCAGAGGATCGTACGGGGCCTCCTCAGAGCTGATGGCCGCTCACACAAAGGCCTGATAATCCTCATTTCATTCAGAGCACACAGAGCAGTGCATGCTGGGACAGAGAGACAGAGGGGAGCTGCAGAGGGGGGCAGGCAACCACAGGACACTGACTGGACAGACTGTGGAACTGTTTAAAGTAGATATCTCAGGCAAAATCGACTTTTCGGAGCTTTTAACCGTGTTATAGTTAGTTCCCCCTCGTTGACCCTCTTGATGTGTTTGATTCGTGCATGTTTGAGCAGCTTTAATCACTTATTGTCAAGACACCATGTTAGCGATCAACCACTGTTTTCACCACCACCTGCATATGCCCACTGATCTGTACAGTTTTATTTTCCTAATCAGTGCTACACAGCAGATTTAGCAGTTTTATGGAGTAATATTGATCCAAATGAAAAAAAAAAATGCTATGTGCTAACATGATCTGCAGCTATTTATCAGAGGTAAAGACAACGTCACAGCTTGTGGCGGCTGTTGTGATGACAGTTACGGTGAACTCTGCTCCGATTGGACACTACAGTTTTCTAATGAAAAGGTCAGAGGACTTTTTTTTTTTATTAGGTCATTTCAGATAAATATTGCAATTAAAAATATATAAATTATAACACACTGATTCAAGGGCGTCATGATTATAACGATACAGCCGACACAGGCACAGCAGGTCTTCTTTAACACTCTGACACAGGTTATTCAGGAGGAAAAGAAACAAACTATTATTTCAAAGGGCCTGTACCTGATTTTCCCCATGTACTTGAGCAAAAAACACTGTTGAGATCAAAATAAGTCAGCCATCTACTCTATGCACCTAAAGCATTTTATTGTTAGAGAATCAGGTAACATTCTCGTTACTGTCATGGAAAAGATACAGTTCTTGCCTCAGAGTTGTGAAAAGCATGTATAAATTAATTGAGGTGTATAATTAAGATGATCTGAATGCATAAGGTAAGTGAAGAATGACTTTGTTTAAAATGAACTAGTCCTCCTTTTCACTTTTTTAGGGCTGCATCGATATCCAAATCTCTCAATATATTTTCACGATGTGCATGTCACGGTATTATATCTATTGCGATATTTTGTGGAGGCTAACAAAACTGTGAATATGCTACTTTTTCCTCTTAAAAAGCCTTGACAAAACTTAAACCAAAGAACTAAGATTTAAAGTGCTTACAACAGCTGTTTCTTCATGTAGTCTGCACTGAAACGGAGCAAAGGATTATGGTCTATGTAGTTCCCTCTGTTTTTTAACTAGTCATTTAAGTGAAGAGACTTGTGATTCGATATATTGTAATGGTCCACGATATTGTGAGACCTATAAAATAATATCTTGATATTTTGGTTATTTTGACATCCCTAGTAAAACTCAGACACAGCTCCTTTAAAATAATGGACTAGTCAGCTGTCACTGTAAAATACATCTAAGGCTGAGTAACTGATTGAATTTGAATGAAGTTGAGAGATGCAGTTGTTTCTGAAAGCGTGAAAGCATCAGGTTTACAGCAGAGACACTTTGGCAAGAGAAATGTTTTTTATTTTGTGTTGAATTGCACTTACGGTCCTGTCCAGTCCCATTTATGTTCGTGAAATTAATACTGAAAGCCATTTTAAAGCTGTAATTGAATCAGATACTACTGTTGCATCGATGCTGTAGATATATATATAATGATCTCTGCTACATTTCTAACAGCCCCACTGGAGGTCTGCTTGTATCTCGGGTTGCAATTAAAAACAAAACAAAACCTTTTCTTTCAGTATGAATTAAATGAAATGATATTATATAGTCCACATGAGAGGTTCTCGTCTCGTACCTTCTAGCCTCTGGATCTTTGCCTTGACGGAGACGACAGCCTCGAAGGGCAGGACGCGGAGCTCGAAGCAGGTGCCGGTCAGCGTCTCTATGTAAAGCTCCATGGTGTCGTAGAAAGGCAGTTTGTACTGGAACGCCCCCACGCTCTCATCGTTAAAGAAGGGCGGCTCTTTCCTGTCAGCCATCTTGGGAAGGTACTCACGGGTCAGGAGACAGCAGGGTCAAAGGTGAGGAGGAGCAGGAGAGGGGTGGGCTCTGCTCACCGCGCTCACATCACATCATGGACGACCATCACAGCTGAAAGAGAAGAGATAACAAAAGAGTTTGAGCTAATGAGCTGAACCATATGAAGCAAGAAACAAAAACAAAAAACACACAATAACAACGCAAATTTAAGAATACATATGTTTCCAGGGGTGTGATGCTAACTGTAAGCACTGCTCTGTCTGAAGCTCTGTTACTCAAGTTTGAGTTTTCTGAGCTTTAATTTAACAGAATCTGACCAGAAAGAGCTGATTTAGTTCGAACTACAAAAGGTGAGCAGATTTTTACTGTTAAACAAGTCCTCTTGAATAACATTAGTTTTTCAGTTAATCCTGCTCACCTTTTTGTTGAAAATGAAACTCCTAAACAGGACCATGAACACTTGTATCAACCACAGGCTCCTGAAAATGTAGAGTTTCAATCCATTTTGTATATATTTTTTTAAGTTTCAGACTATTTTAAAACTTTTTTGGCACTGCTGTGTGCATTGTGTCACTATGGTAACTCATCAAATTTATTTTAATAGCACATTTAAAACAGCCAAAGCTTTCAAAGTGTTGAACAGTGAAATAAAACATACAACAGACAAATCAATGAGAATGCCAGGGAGAAAATGTGTGTTTTGAGCAAGGATTTAAAGTGCTCCAGTGTTTGTGCAGTTCTAATGTGCAATGGTAAAATGTTCCACAGTTGTGGACCACCCACAGAGAAGGGCTTATCTCCTCTAGTCCTCAGCCTGGTCCTGGGGACAACCAGGAAATGCTGGTCTACAGAGCGCAAACTGATGAACATACATACAGACATACACATAAAGAACCCCCCCAGTGTGTAGGGTTAGTGATGCCGCTGCAAAGAATCAACAGCAAAGGATTATTTTTTTCTAAACTGGAAAAAATTGTGCATTAAAAATATCTATATAAAAATAAAAAAGTCCTCATCAGATTAATTGTCTACCAATATCTGTCAAAGACAAAAGTGAAGAGCTTTTTCTGGCAGTGGTCACGCCCTTTTAACCCTTCACCATTTCATCATGACTGGTATTCATTTCTCTCTCTACTTAGCAATGATAAAGTAGCAAGAACTAAGTCTGGCATTTAAAGGTGCACTAAACAACTTTCTGGTACAAGTAAACCACCGGGTTGTGTTTATGGAGATATGCTAGAGAGGTTGCTTTCACTGGAATATACCACAGTATGGCAATAAAGGTTTTTATTATTTAATTATATGTGGGTCTTTTTTTTACCTGCATTGTACTCTAAGCAGGCTCACCTCTCCACAAATCAGACCTTTTAAATCGCATGGTGCTTGTCTTTGTGGAAATACATAAGTTTAATATACTGTGAAAAATCAAACCAAGTTACAGGTCAGATCTGTAGAGAGGCAACTCCACTCACAGTCAAAATGCCTGTTTTATAGGTCTTTTTGAGTTATAAAACCATCTGTAATTGAAAAAATGTAAAGTAGATTTGTTTAATGGGATACTGTGGAATATTTCAATGACATTGCAATAGAAACAAGCAGGTGACAGACCCACTACCAAATTGTGCAAATTTAATGAAAACAGGCAGAAAGGAAACTATAAATCTAATCATGCATGAAAGGGATACCAGTTTTCCCACTGTGAAGGATAATACGTTTGAATCTTCAAATCAGAACTTTATTTATGAACAAAACTGACACAGTAATCTTTCCTTTAGTGAAGAAAAGTGAGAACCAATTAGAGCAGTGAAGTGGAGAGGTTAAAGGAGAGTCTGTCCGAATCAGGCCAGTGGAAGATTACACGAGCAATCTCCTCATCAAACATTTAGAGACGCATTAAAAGGCTGGGGCCAAAATTCAAGCCGATTACATGTGTGCCCAAAGAGGAACTAGAGAGGGAGGAGAGAGGAGGTGAGAGGAGGAGAGAGGAGGAGAGAGGAGGAGAGAAGAGGAGGGTAAAGAGGAGAGAAAGAGGAGGAAGAGAGGAGGGAGACAGGAGGTGGGCAAAGAGGAGAAGGGAGAGAGGAGGGGAGAGAGGAGGAGAGAGGAGGGGCAGAGTATCTAGTGGCCCAGTGAGACAGTGATGGATCACTTTTGGAACACGTTCTCATCAAAGTTTGACACAGATCCTGTGAGTGAGGATGAAGATGATGAAAATCTGTAATAATACATATGGCAGCCTTTGTGATAGCGATGCACAATCCAGTTTTTTCAGCTCAGTTACCGATTTCGATACTTCAGTATTTATACCGGATATTAAGCAATACCACTGTAATTCTATGTATTTTCATTAAACAAAAAATAAGAAAAACTGTTCCAAATGTTTGATGTAGCTATTTATGTAGTATTTTAAGTACTATTTATGAAGTTATTTATATCTCAAGTAATTACAGAACAACTTTGTGTAAATGAAACTTACTACAATGCGATATAAAAGGGCCTATATTACACAAAATTGACTCTTGTGAGCTTCAAGCCATGTTATAATCTTGTAACCTCCTCAAAAACAGACCTGGAGTAGTGTTTTGTTTCATTTACACAAGTTTCAGGAATCCTTTATTATTAGTCTGTCTACATCTCCAAAGTAGTAGTGGTAGTTTCTAAGTTCACAACTACCTTTTACCTTTACCTCAGTAGAGATTGTCAATTACAGGGCTGAAATCACCCAAATTATTTTAGTAACAGTGTGTGAAGTTTAAAAACACAGTGGAGCATTTGCTGTATTACCACAGGCCATCAGGAAGTGGAACAGATTCTCTGTTTGAGAGAAGAACACAGCCTATATATGCAGGGTTTGTATGTGAAACACGTGTGAATAAAACAAAGCACAACTCCAGGTCTTTTTAATAAGGAAAATGGTGTAATATGGACCTTTTTTTTGCATCCGTTCTAAATGCTAATCTTGCAACCCTAGATTATGTGATATGGCACCAGTAGAGGAGATTAATTCTGATTACCGGATACTGAAAAAGGACACTTTCACTGCCCACTGGTCATTGTGATATTGAGTTACAAGGGATTGAAATGCCTGGAGTCTGGATGTGCATTTTAAACACATCTCATAATAGTTTCTTTTTTTTTTTTTTTTAAACATTATCAACTCGATAATATTGAGCCATTTTTTTTTTTTTTATCGAATCTGTTATTTTAAAGGTCATTCACACATGGTTGAGTAACCCCTTATTATTAGTCTGTCAAAATACCAAAGCTCAAAATGCTCAGTTCCACCTTGTGATGTCATGAACAGATAGTTTTCCAGTTAACAGTAGTATTAGCAGTAGTATTAACAGTTTCAATAGAGACTGGCAATTCCAGGCCTGACATTAGCCAAATGATTCTAGTGAAAGCATAGGGAGTTAAAAACCACATTACATCACAAGGTGGAGCAGAGTGTTTTCAATGTGAGAGAAGAATTCAAGAAGAACTGAAATATGCAGGGTTTGTGTGATAAACATGTGTGAATGAAACAAAACACAACTCTGGGTATATTTTTGATAGGAAAAACACATTTGAACAGTGATCAGAAAATAGTAATACAGCCCCTTAAACAACAAATTTTTATGTGAGAATGAAAAAATCACCTATAAGTGCCCTAAACATTGAGAGAAATGTTTTCCATAAACTATAGATTAAAATATTGTAGCATTTTGATCCTTATTCAAAGAATTCCAATACATTTTTGGATTTTAAATTTATTTTTTTTTTAACCAGTCCTTTACTTTTCTTTTTTTCCTTTAAGATTTAACATGCAAATTACAAAACAGTGGGCCACGATAGTCTTCCTTATTATGGACAACATTGGTTTGCACATTTGTTGGGTCTTGTTTGTACATTTGCATATTATTCGCAAACAAAAAAAAAAAAGTGTAGTCGTCTTTAAAAGGACTCCACATACACCAACACCTGAATAAATATTTACTGACAATATAATACGGTTTAAAGCGGTTAAAATAGTTCATACTAGCTTCCCGAATTCCACTGCCTGACAACGGGGATGAATGGGACCCCATCATATCCAGTCTATGGTCCCCACACTCCCAATGCACCCCAAAATCGACAAACCAGCCGATCACATTCTTTAAAACACGCTTATATCAAAACTCAAGACTTTCTACGATGTGCTAAAAACATGGAGCTTAAAAACGAGCTAAAATCTCTACAAAAATCACTCATTCCTAGCAGCGTTGTCATGTTAGCCAACAAACAATGGCTACCTTTCTGAGCGGAGGCTAGTAGCAGCAGAATGCTAACTAGGCTACATCCAGAGGGTCCGGCTGTGCTCGCTGTCGCAGGCGGGGAGAGGTGATCGGAGGTCCGGTACAAGCAGCATCTCACCGCGCCTAAGTCCGAGAAGCCCGCACGGAACCTGGGGAGCCCGGAGATGTCCGTGGCTTCGGTTCTCTCCTCGGCGACATCTTCGTACCTGTCAAAGGCGTCTGAATAACACCTTTGTGACAGAGGGTGAGAGACAGGTGCGGGAGCCAATGGGAGCAGAGGATTGGAGGGCTGGGCGGGGCTTCCTGTTGGTCAGAGCTTTGTTTTCAAGGAGATGTGGTGCTGATCAAGAATGTTTAATTAATTACAAGTTATTATGTAATGAGAATAAGAAAATATTAAAAAAGATACCAAATAAATGACTTTTTTCTCTTCAGGTAGTTTGACAAAAAATATAAGGCACCTCAAACCCAAAAGAATAGGACAAATATCCATCCATTCATTTTAAATGTGTAACATTTCGAGTGGAAAGTCCGCCACCTGCTTGTCACCATGGAAATATTGTTGTCTTGTCTAGAATGTTCCACAGTATAGATTAAACATAACACGAAAGAGACAAACAGGTTACAGCACTACACTGCATTACAATTCAGATCCGGGGAGAGTCGCCCCTATTTATAGAAGGAATTCTGGTATTTTTGAGTAATAGAAACACTCATAATGAATAAATGCTATAGGAATGTGTTTCATGTTTCCAGGGAAAGCAATAAATCTCCATGGAGACAAGGAGGTAGAGACGACTCCACCAGAAATGTTGCACTGTGCACCTATGAAGTCAACTATAATGCACACAAGACAATAATAAAGAGCACAGTGTGTCAAAATATATTCACAGCGCATATACGTATAACCCTTTTGTTTACTTCACAGCGTGGTGCACATCATAATTCTTGTACCAGATTTTTCCACTGCTCCTATATGTAACTGTATCCCTAAAAAAATAGAACCTTGTGATAGCCCATTTTGTCATAAGTCAGTCAAGTTGCGTAGTAAATATAAGAATACTAATGCATTAGTCTTATATAGTGCTTTTTCCAGAGTCAAAGTCACAGAGCTGCCCTGGGGTAGACTGAAGGGGTCTGCCATGGCTTTAACCTTGTGTTTCCGTAGAGACAGGCAGAAGTGTCACCAAACCAAGTTACAGGTCGGATCTTTGTGGAGGCGGTCTCACTCACAGTCACAATGGATCATTTTCAAGGTATATGTGAGCAATAAAGCTGTGTAACTGAATAAATATAAGAGAGATATGCTGAAAGCCGTACTGTGCGACATTCCAGACAACACAACTTGGTGAACTCTCAACCAGAAAAGTGACATATTGCACCTTTAAGTATCATTTAGCATCTAGTTAGTTTTTAGATAATCCAATATTACACAAAAAATGCTCAAATGAAATAATCGATTAAAAAAAAAAAAGCATTTGAAAGACAACACACCATTGAGAGAATAAAATATGGTTCTTTTTAGTTATTAAAAATGAATTTCTTTTTCATCACAGGCAGAGTTAAGAAATGAATGACTTTGCAATTAATAAAAACATTCAAAATGCCTAAGACAATGAGTAAACATCCTTCAACAACATATGGCACCAACACAAAGAATCTCACCATGGCCAAAACCAAAACCATAAATAATTTCACAAAGGAATCAACTGAGAGGCCTCCAGGGTAAGCATCCTCATAATGCTTTTAAAGTGCTACTGTGTACAATGTTACTCAAAAACAGCACGAACCGTTTCAGACTTGAATTTATCGGTAAATGATTTTCAGAGAAGCAAGATGAGTAGAATTATGTTTGTATTTAAAGGTCCTACATTACGTGAAATTGATTAAAGAGGTGGTATTTTACTTCTGTAGGGTATTAACTATTGTTTTGATAATGCTATATCCTCCAAAAACAAAGCATTAATATGTTTTAAGTCTCCCCTCGCTTTGCTCCCTGTGTTAAGTCACTGCCCCTTCAGAGCACTATCACAGTACAATCCCACTAATGAAGCTATTTCACATCGCATAGCACTACAAACAATCTTACAGCTAACTGTTAGAAGGGTTCGAATAGGGCCCAGGAGAGATTGCTAAATTACTCAGAGATGCATGGTTAAACCTCCTCAGGCATGTTTTGATATAATATGGTAGAAAGTGCATAATACCCTGTCTTTAATCTGAGCTTTTAGTCATGTTAGAATGTTGTTACCTCTTCAAAAACATACCTAGAATTGTGTTTTACTTCATTCACAAATGTTTGAGTAATCCAGCATTATTATCCTTTTTACATCTCCTGATCTGAAAATTCTCTGTTCTATCTTGTGATGTCATAAAGTGGCAGTTTTCAAGTTTAGAGCCATGTACATCTGAACTACAACTAAAACTTATAAAAATAACCATCAGTTGTTGCCTTTTTAGTTTAAAGGCCAAAACAACAGTTGTAGCTTCAAAGTCTGGTAATTCCTGAGCTGTAAATTATTCAAATGATTCTAGTGAAAGTGTGTGGAGTTTAAAAATACAGAGGAGCACTACCTGTATCAGCACTTAGTTACATCACATGGTGGAACAGAGTGTTTTCAGTTTGAGAGAAGCTAAACGTGTGAATGAAAGAAAACACAACTCTGGGTATGTTTGCGATGAGAAAACAACATTACGGCACATATCAAAAATAAGCATAATATAGGACTTTTAAACGGCATGACTGTGAATAAATATAACAGTGTCCGGGTCTGTCCGTTGGGTCTCGTGATGAGCTAGTCCACAGGTGTAGAAATAAGGCGAGTTGAGTTCAGTTTCCTCCCAGAGCGTTGAGAGGGTCATCGAATATGTCTGCTGTGTCTGAGACTGCGCTGGGCTCTGGGGGAGAGGGGGCTTTCTTCTGTTTAGGAGGAGCCTTGGCCGCTGCTTTGACTGTGCTTGTGGAGAAAATGTCATCTGGAAACAAAAATGAAGACGTACAATCTGTTTAAACTTTAAAGGGTCTATATTACGCTATTTCCTGTGTGTGGGTTAGCTATGTCCATTTAGTTTTTGATACAGGTCTTTTAAGTGGTATTGCGGTCACAAATCACCCATAAAAGCAGATTAAAAAAGCATTAACATAAACTGTGATAGGCTGTAAATTCGGCTATTTTATCTTATAGATTATTAAAGCATTTATTCAACTCAACTATCATAAATTATTTAAATGTAAGATTAAAAGTGCATTGCTGGTGGAGGGCCGTCAAATGCTTTTCTCCATGAAGATGTTATTGCTTTTTCTGGAATGTTACAGGTCAGATCTGTGGAGAAGCAACCCCAATCACTGTCAGAATGCCTGGTTTTCTTTGTATTTTTAAGCTATAAAACCACCTGTAACGGAATAAAGTACAGTAGAGCTGTTTAATGTCACACTGTGGAACATTCCAGGTAGAGTGATGACATATCCATAGAAATAAACAGGTGATGAACCCTCAACCAGAAAGTTACAAAGTGCACTTTTGTCTGAAATCTACCAAATCAATCAAATACATACCATACCTTTTTAAAAACTCAAATGAACTCTTTCATCATTGAGTTAATTGAGTTATTATTATATGAATGCTTTATATGGTAAATAATTCCAATAAATAAACGTACCCATGTCATCGTCGAATATGGACTTGGCATCTCCTTTTGTCTTGGCCTTGTGTTTGGGTTTGAACGTGTCCGACAGATCGGCGAAAATGTCCACGTTATCGTCAAACAGACTGGCATCAAACTTCTTCTCCTTCTGCTTCTCTTTGTGCTTTTTCTGAGCTTTAGGCACTGATTCAACGTCATCCTGAGAGAAACACAAAAACTCCATCAGCAACATAGACCGGGAAAAAAATACGCCTCATACAGTCTCCCCCTTTTAGACTTTGTAAACCCCCGACCAGCAGAAGAAGTACTATGTTTTGATTCTTAAGTAAAAGTGCAGATACTGAAGCAGAAATGCACAAGTAAAAGTATCACATAAAAAAATGTACTTAAGTAAGAATATTAAAGTGCCTGTTTAAAAATGTACTTAAAGAGTAAAATGTAAAAGTGTTTCATGCAGATTTTGAGATCCAACAAAGTTTCAAAATGTAGTGATTTTGATACAGATTTGTGCTGAATTTTGTTCAACAGAAACAACTGAATAGCTAGAGTTAGGGAAAAAAATTATAATTTCAACTCTATCTGTAAATTTATGTATATGTATATTTTGTATATTAATGTATATTTTTGTTTCCTCAGACCATGAACATGTTAAAAATAAACCATTTACTTTTCTGTCCTGTTCAAAAATGTGGAGTAAAAAGTAGAGCTACCTGCACTCAAATGTAGTGAACTAAATGGAAAAAATATTCATATTAAAATTGACTTACGTAAAGTACAGATACCTAAAATGTACACTTAAGTTCAGTACTTTACTACTTAATTTTTTTTACATTCCACCACTGACCCTGACCAAGTAGATACAATTGTTTATTACATTTATTTGGCTTTGTTTTGGACAAGACAGTGTGAAATGTGGGTTAAGAATGAGGAGAGACATTCAGCCCAAGATATGCACTACAGGCTGGACCCCTAGACGATTATCCCTAACTGATTTAAAATTTAAAACTTTGCCTTAAAACATAGACTGTAGAAAGTGTGATGTCACAACAACATTTCAAGACCAAAATGACGGGGTTCACTGCAGCAGTTACAGAGAGTCAAGTTGTCAACTGGAAACAGAGTTTAAGGAGCCAGAAGAGCCCCCATGAACACTTCCTATTTGAAACTCAACGGCTAGCAGGTCAGCTATGTCCATACACTCTATATACATTTTTATAGGGGTGTAACAATAACTGACATATTGTAATACTGTATTGTCATAAAACTCAACATAATAATACCGTGGGCCATCACAATATATAGAATTACAAGTCTCTTTGCTTAAATTCATTGTTATGGTGCAGAATCAGCTAAAAGAAAATACATAGACCATGATCCTTTGCTCTTTTTCAGTGACTACATGAAGGCTTGATCAAGGGATTTCAAAAGGAAAAAGTTGCATACTGTATTCAGAATTTTGTTAGCCTACACAAAATATTGCAATAAATAATGTACTGTGAGATGATATCATGAAAATATTGTAAGGAGATTTGGACAATTGGGTTACATCACTACATTTTAAATTCCACTGACATATTTTAAGTGTATTCCTTGAAATAGATTTATTTTTAATAGTATAATAACCAAAGCTTTCCAACATAAGAATTTTAAGGTAACTGGACGTGAAATAAAAAGTAGGGCTGAATAACAATAATAAAAAAAAAAACTAAAAAAAAACATCCAGACTTTTAATCTAGTGATAGGATATTTGGGGCAGCAGTAGTTTAGTTGGTTTGTTCACTGATCTGCAAGTTTGCGGTTTGAATTCTGCTCTCCATATAAACATGTGTGATTGTGATGTCATTGTGTTCTTTGGCAAGACACTTAACCCACCTCGCACCCAGTGTCTGCGTACACTGGTGTATGAATGTGTGTGTGAATGGGTGAGTGGTGCCTTGAAGGTGGAAAAGTGCTAAATAAAAATGTGACCATTTCCAATTTGATTCGTTGTTAGGAGAATTATTCCACTAAGCCCAAAAGTTAGTTGGGTCTTGGAGTCATAAATGTCATAAAACTACAGGACAAAGTTACACAATATTATCGAAGACCAATAAAGAACTTACCTGAAAAATATCTTGCTTTGACAAACTGTTAGTACTCTTGACGTCTTTAGTATTGTTTGAGGAGGGGGTGGAGCTGTTGTTAACTCCAAACAGATCCTCGTCATCGTCCTCTTCCAAAAACACAGCGGGCTTGGCTTTCTTAGTGCTCGGTTTGGACTTCACCTTCTGGAAAAGATCATCAGCGCTGTCATCAAAGAGAGATGGGAGAGTGCTTTTCTCTTTCTTCGCCTTCGTGTCATTACTGGCCGGCGAAGATTCACTTTTCAAACTAGTCTGAGGCGGTTTAGACGGGGCTATACTGGATCCGAACAGACTATCAGAGCTGAAAATGTCGTCCGGAATGGGTAACGTGTTTTTCGTTTTTTTGCTGCTTTCTTTGCTAGAGTCTGTGTTGTTTGTGGACACTGGTAGTGAGAGTGCAGAAGGTACGGAAGATGGTTGGACTGGAGCAGAGGGGGGCTTTTCTGGAGGAGGTATGCCCAGGTTAGGCACGCTCTGGCTGGGTGCAGTTTCCAAGTCATCCCCAGGGCCCTCCACAGACTTCTGAGCAGATTGCTGTCGAGCTGCTCTGGATTGGGGCCTGCGCTGGGAAGAACCTTTCACTCGGCCCTATAATGAGACAGAAAAGTAAGGATTAATCTGATATAAGTAAATGTAAAGGCACTGTTTGAGTACTATGTGTCATTTCTCAGTTGTAGGTGTTGTTTTTGAGCTAAGTCACAGCAGAACAAACTGAAAGTGGTACAGAGATGAATGCGATCTGTACTATTTGAGTCCAAGACTGACTCATACAAATGTGGACTGATGCTTGAAATGGAGTGGGAAGACCTATTTTTAACCTACTCCAGTGTATAAGTAGATCCACATAAAAGTAAAAGCACTATGTGTAATTTCTCAGTTGATAATTGTTTTGATTGTGGGATTACACGATTAAAGCTAAAACACAATACAAAGAAAATTATACTTCTTATATTACACATTGAACAATTTTAAGAATAGTGTGAATATAAGCAAGGAAGGCATAACTAAACATTTCAGATTTTTTAAAGACGTGTCATATTTTTGTCATAGTTTTTATTAAAAGGTTCAGTATGTACGTTTCAAGAGATGGCACATCACCTACATGATTCCATGACAATATAAATCACACATGGAAACATTCTCCATGGAGACAAATACATTTTATGCCATACTGTGGAAGATTATAGCTAAAAGTAGGGCTGAACGATTTTAAGAAAAAACTGAATTGTGATTTTTCTGGTAGATATTTTTTTTTCAAGTCATTTCAAATCAAGTTTCAGTGCACATGAACATTTTCAAACATCACAGAATCTTACATCATACCAGAGTCCTGCACCAGGTCAGGTACCTGCAGGTGCCCGGTGTGACTACTACTACTACTGTCAAAAATCCGTCATCACTTCACAGGCATTATTTATTGAGCAGAAGAAACACAAAAAAATTGCGGACTTTTGCGCCGCATACGGACTGAACCAGGACTAAACCAGGACTGAATCAGGACGGAACCACGTGTATACCAGGTCTATACCAGGTCTATACCAGGTCTATACCAGGTCTATACCAGGACTGAACCAGGACTGAACCAGGACTGAACCAGGACTGAACCAGGACTGAACCAGGACTGAACCAGGACTAAACCAGGACTAAACCAGGACTATACCAGGTCAAACCCAGAACTGAACCACGTCTAAACCAGAACTGAACCAGGACTGAACCAGGTCTAAACCAGGTCTAAACCAGAACTGAACCAGGACTGAACCAGGACTGAACCAGGTCTAAACCAGAACTGAACCAGGACTGAACCAGGACTGAACCAGGACTGAACCAGGACTGAACCTTTGACAGTCCTAAAATTGTGTTGTCTGAGATCGCGATTTTCGGTCCAAAACGATAGATGTGAAAACATTTCTATGGAAACAGGCAGGAGGAGGTGCTCATCCAGTCGAAACAAAAGTTAAGTTTATCGAGGTATCAACATGCTCACAGTAAAGACCCATGAAAAAATATGCTTTTCTTTGAGGTTTTTCTGATCAGAAAGTGTTATACTGTGGCTTTCATTCATCTGAATTTTAATTATGATTAACTATCCTTTTAGCTGTTACTATATATTATGCTTCTAGTTACTTCGTTTAGTTAGGCCTTTCACTGCTGATTGGGCAGGTCCAAAAATTTTAACATACAATATTTATTTATGAAATACTGAGGATACTGTGATGAATTGTATTTTTTGTTGTTGTTGTTGACAATTTCAAAGTAAACCTAACCTACACACTCAGACCAACCTTGTGCGCGCTCTGCAGTGTGGAGACCTGTGCGGGCGTGTCAAAGCTGACCCCTGTGGCCTCTGAGTCTCGGGGCAGATCCAGAGGAGACGTGAGCGGACTGGGGCTCAGGCTGGAGCTGGACACCCCCGAAGAGGAGCTGGCCCCCAGACCTGAGCCTGAGCTGGGGAGGGAGGGGAGGGCACCAGGCAGGAGAGCGGATGGGTTTATCACCAGCGACGCCTGAGAGCACAGGGATAGCAGGTGTTACTATGGTTACACACATACACACACCAAAGATCTGCCGTTATCTGATTTCTGGAGAGATCAGATTACTGCAATGTCATGTGAACAGCTACATCTGATGAGAGTAATCTGATTTCAGTCTGATTGGCCACACGAAAATAGCGTAAGATGGGCCCTTTAAGCGTATTTTCAGTGACAGCAATAGACCACTGATGGAGTTCATTTGGAGAAAAAGTGAGATGAGACAAGAACAAGATGCATGAAAAAATATCTTTAAAGTGAAAAAAAAAAAGAGTAAAATCATTTCTGAGAATAAAAAGTGTCTTCATTTCACAGGTTGAAATTTGAAATGCAAGGCTCAGATGTTGAAAAGAGGACAGGAAATCTACAGTCCCAAAGTAAGATGTGAGTGATGAAGACCAGACAGATTAAAAAATACAACAAAAATTACTTGAAGTTTCCCAATCCTTGAAGAGGGATCTTTAGGTTTAACAGGAGCTGGGGCAGGCTTCTGTGGTCAAATCAAAGCAATGTCAAATATGATAAGATAAAATGGGTTTGTAAAATACCAAATCTCCTTACACATTACACTGTCATATATTGTTTTTAAAAGGTAATTTAAAATGGTAAAGATCTCACCTGGCTCTCTGAAGAAGGCTCTGGGCTGGCTAGTGGTGCTTTCTCCGCTGGTTTACTGGGTTTCTCTGCTACTTTCTGCGAAGAGGAAAAGGTCAAACGCATGAGACTTAATGAATAAAATCTAAAAATATGACACTGTTATGTACTGGTACCATTATGTGCTATCACAGCTTAACAGTGGTCGCTACTAATCCGTGTATCATTCGTTCATTTGTTTTTCAAATTAAAATCAAAGATAAGAAAATGAAAAAAACAACTATTTTATTCATTACTTGTCTCGAAACCAAAATGAAAACATGGATAATGATTTGTTGTTGTTTTTTCAGTTATTGATTATGTGTTTAAATGAATACTGAAAAAACGGATAACAGCCGTTTCCTGTTTCTGAGAACTGAGACTGGGACCAGACCAGGACTGAGACCAGGACTGAGACCAGGACTGAGACCAGGACTGAGACCAGTTCAGTCCTGGTTTAGACCTGGTTTAGACCTGGTTTAGTCCTGGTTTAGTCCTGGTTTAGTCCTGTTTTAGTCCTGTTATACGGTCGTTACCTGTTATTCATTTAAACAATAAATCGAAAACTGAAAAAACTAATCGCTGCCTGTTTTTTCATTTTGGTTTTGGAGACAAATAATGAAAAAAATAGTAAATAGTAAATAGTTGTTTTTCGTTGTCTTATTTTTGGTTTTATTTTGAAAAACTAATGAACAAATGATACCTGGATTACTACTCTTTAATTCCTCACATTTTCATTCCAACATTTTAAAATTTTTATAAGGTGGTACATTTCATACACATTTGTCAATTTGTGTCTCCAGATATAAACACAGATATTAACATAGTCAAATCAAACAACAAATTTGCCAATGATAATTAATTGTTGCTATAGTGATATTTTTGTTTTTTTTGTTTGTTTGTTTTGTCTTTTTTTGCATCAAATTGAGAGAGAGAGGGGGTAGAGACATTCAGCAAATTATAAATAAAAAAAACAAAACAAAATATGATTCTGTTCTGTCTAAATTAGAAAATGGAGAACTTTTTTAAACTGCAATTTTGAAATTTTTTATGACTCATTTTAATTTCTTGAATTGCTTTAATTTTAGGACAGATTCATTATTATCTTACATATATTACACTGTTTTTGTCTTCAGCTATGATTATGCATCAGCAACTGCAGTTCTAGTTGAGGGTTCCTGTCTACAGCACCAAGGTGAAGTGGTGTCTGGATACTGTAGTTGTTAACAATGCTATTAACTTCAGTCTACAGGGATCACCATGGTTACTGTGCATTATACATTCAGTCCAGTTCCATTCTTCTTACCGGTGGAGGGGCTTTGGGTTTGACAGAACTGAACAAGTCGTCTTCATCATCGTCTGAAAACAGGCTTGGAGCGGCTGGCTTCACTGTGCTGCTGGGTTTGGAACTCTACAACAAAAATAGTAAAATATACTAATGGACAATTCAAGTAACATTTATTTAAAGAAACCGTATTATGCTTGTTTCCACTCTGTGTTACAATGCTGCTTCCTACTGAAAAATACCTGGAGTTATGTTTTTTTAATTCACACATGTTTAACACACAAATCCTACATATTTAGGCTGAGTTCTTCAGAAAACACTCTGTTCCACCTTGTGATGTCATGTGGTAATATAGGAAGTGCTCCACAGTGTTTTTAAACTCCACATACATTCACTTGAATCATTGGGATAATTTCAGCCCTGGAATTGCCAATCGCTACTGAACAAAGAGTCAAAATGCAGCTGTTAACTTTAAAACTACCACTACATGTCATCACAAGGTGCAACAGAGCATTGTGAGCTTGGATTGGAAGATTCTTCAAACATGTGTGAATGAAACAAAACACAACTTTGGGACTGCTTTTGATGAGGTAACACATTCTAACATGATTTAAAGCTTACAAGAATCAATTTTGTATAATATAGGACTTTTAATTGAAGAAATTGCAGTAGACCAGAGTGTGTGTTACCGTAGTGTGAGTGGTTTTCCCTGAGGAGGAGGAGAAGAGGTCCACGTCGGGGTCATTGTCCTTCTGCTGAGTTTGACTGAACAGCAGCTCTTCGTCCTGGAACACTCCAGTGCTTTTGGCTGGAGTCCTCTCCTCTGTCGACTGGAAACACACAGAGGTCAGTTAGAACTTCAAGAAGATCATTGTTCTAATATCTAACAAAGGGACATTTAAAAAAAATATATATATATATCCAAACAGAAAAAAAATTTTAACATAACTATAACAGGATTGTATAATCATGATGCTCCTACCACCATGCTTCAACTGAGAAATATGAATAAACTCTTATAAATCTGCACATTTGGGCTGTGGTGATATTAAAGATTTTCATAATATTTTATAACTGGCACAGAAATACTTGCTTCTGCCTCATCTGAGTGAGCCAGATTAGCACATTTAAACAACCTGATAACCTACTCATTCAAGACCTAATGTGCTGTCTGCTATATAGTATCATTATGGTACAAATATGCAAATTTTAAAATACAATATTAAACTAAAATTACTTCAATAAAAGAAAAAAGTTCTCTGACTTCTGCATTAGAAAACAGCGGTGCCCAATGGAGCTGATGATGCCGTAATTGTCATCGCAACAAAGAGCCGTGTAGCTGTCGGACCCACATATGAATATCTGTACATCACACTAGGGGGTAGCAGATTTTTTTCCCTTTGTGCCAAAATGACTACACAGTGTTGCCGAATTCTACTTGAATCAACCATTAAGAAGATAAAATTGGAGAACTAAATACATTGCAGTGTGGGATTGATTGGCAATATGGCGTCTTTAAAATAAGGGATTAAAGACTGCTCAAACATGCACAAATCACTCTAAATATAATTTTGAGAGGGTAAATGAGAAGGGGAACCCACTATAACATGGTTTAAAACTCTGAAAAATTGATTTTCCAGAATAGATTCACTTTAACCTTTAACTTACCTTTAGAGTATTTTTAGCAGGTTTGGGTGGCGGAAATATCGAATCTGTCAGATCTGGCTCCTCCTCTTCATCATCGTCAAACAAACTCACAGCCTTCACTTTGGACTTCTCCACTTTCTTCTCCACTTTCTTCTCCTCATTACTTTCCTCCTTCTTCTCCTCTTTCTTCTCATCCTTTTTCTCCTCCTTCACATTAAGGGGAGGAATGTCACTACCATCTTTCTCCGTCTCTTGCCCGATGGGGCTTTTGGCGAACACATCGATCCCTCCGAAAAGGCTGACGGCTCCGGCTGGCTTCTTCTTGGCTGCACTGCCCTCTGGTGGTGAGGTTGGCACTGGCTCGGGGGTCTTCTCCTCTGGTTTGGACACATCTAGAGGCTGGTCTTCTGCTGTCGTGGTGGGTGGGATGTCTGTGGTGGTCTTAGGGGTAGGGGTGGGGGACTTGGAGGGAGCTGGGGAAGGCTAGAGTATAGAAAATATAACGTTAGACTGGTTAAGATGAGTTTTAGCGTAAAACCTGACTCAACTAGTTACAAAACAGGCAAAAAGAGTATGAAATTAATTGCAGTCTAGTTAACTTGTTTTCAAATGGTTATAATAAGCAAATCTCAAAGAGTGGAATCATTTATCAATTCCTCTGTAGAAGATGCAAATAGAAAAAATATCAAAAGACTAGTGTCAAATAAGGCACAATTACATAAATGTGTCCAAGTAAAAATAAGTGCAAAGATATGTGATGATTGATATGACATTGGCTTATCTGTTACATCTGCTTTACAGGTAATTTTCCATAGTAACAGGCTAGGCTAAAAAGAGGCAAGCCCACTCACTGTAAGAGTTAAATCTTGCATTCATTTCATAAAAAAGATATTTTTATTAAATAAGGCAAGGCTAAAAATAGTATTTTCCAACAGTTATCAGTGTCCTAAATCATTTTCTGCCATAAATGTTGTGTTTTTTCACATGTAGTATGTCTTGGCTTCACCGTGTTGTCTGTGTAAATCAGAAGGAGCTGCTAATTGTAATTTCAGTGTTTGTTTTTCCAATCAATGACAGTAAAAAGAGTCATCAATTGATCAAATGAACCAAGTTTGAGAAAAGAAACACTGGAGTTTCATCAGTGTTGAAGTGGACATTGGGGCTGCTCTAAACAGTGTTCTAAGGACAGGAGTTTGTTTACACAGAAAATAACCCACACTTGTTGTTTACAGTAAAAGCATCCATCACTGTCATGCTCACTGTCCTGCCCTGAACTGTGAGCGGTCACTTGAGTCCTGTTTTACGCAATGGTCCATGGACCTAATGACGTACGGTTCAGTCACTTACAGCTTATTAGCATTCTCTTACTCTGACTCGATTGTTGTTTTGGTTCTGAAATACGAGCAGTTCTGGTTCAAGTTTAGCAGCCAATATTCCAGCGTTCTCTTGAATTTTCCTGGACTTGTTTTAATGAGCAATATATTGACTCATGGCTGAAAAAAGAATTAGCCAATCTATCTATCCATCCATCCATCCATCCAACTATTTTCTTCCGCTCATCCGGGGCCCAGACTTCCTTCACCCCAGACACGTCCTCCAGCTCCTCCGGGGGGACCCCGAGGCGTTCCCAGGCCAGCCCAGAGACATAGTCCCTCCAGCGTGTCCTGGGTCTTCCCCGGGGCCTCCTCCCGGTGGGACATGCCCAGAACACCAGGAAGGCGTCCAGGAGGCATCCGGAACAGATGCCCGAGCCACCTCAACTGGCTTTTCTCGACATGGAGGAGCAGCGGCTCTACTCTGAGCTCCTCCCATGTGAGTGAGCTCCTCACCCTATCTCTAAGGGCACCCCAACCACCCGGCGGAGGAAACTCATTTTGACAGCTTGTATCGGCAATCTCGTCCTTTTGGTCATTACCCAGAGCTCATGACCATAGGTGAGGGGAGGAACGAAGATTGACCGGTAAATAAAAAGCTTTGCCTTTTTTCAACTCCGTCTTCACCACAATGGTGCAATACATCTGTCAATACTATCTGTCAATCTCACACTCCATCCTCCCCTCACTCGTGAACAAGACCCCGAGATACGTCAAGTCCTCCACTTGAGGCAGGGACTCACATTATATTGCAATAAAAAATAAAATTAAATGAATAAATTAAATGTTAAATCAAAGTTCAACTCTAATGTTTTTGTAGGTGTTTTAAAAACGGATTACTAAAATTACAAGTGATTTCATGTCACGTATAGTGTAAACAGAGTTAGTTCTTACTTTAGGAGATGGTGAAGCTGCGGGTTTGATACTAAAGAGGGATCCTTTGTCATTTTCATCCTCGTCTTCAAACAGCAGTGCTACTCTCTGAGACTTCTTTTGACTATAACACAAACAGAAAAACTGATTTTAGTGAAATAATTGCAACTTACCATACTTAGAAGTCAGAGGTTATAAACAACATTATGAGCAATATACAAACTGGAAGTCATAATATTTTCATTATAACTTATTGAATTTTATTTGTTAATGTGTCTAGACTTAAATGTCATCACAACAAAAGATTTTTTCATTTGTATCAAAATAACTACTTGGCACTGCAGAATCCTTCATGTATGACTGGTTAATAAAATTAAATTGGAGAATGAAGTACAGAGCAGTGGGTGTGAAAACTGGGGTTGATCAGCAATATGGCGTCTTGAAAATAAGTGATTAAAGATGACGCAAACATGTACAAATCATTCCAAATACAACTTCAAGAGGATAGATGAGAAGGGGAACCAACTATGACATGGTAAAAAGCTGTGACAAGTTGATTTTGTGGAACAGAACTGCTTTAAAGAACTTTTTACAAATGACTTTTAGTATACTGTTTGTAAACATTACATTTACATGTCCTATTTAACTGTAAATTCTCAGCCTATTATATAACTAGTAGGAAAATCTCTACATCAAGCTCTTGTAGTACTGACCTTGACTCTTTAGGGGGAGCAAACAGGTCATCATCGTCATCATCAAACAGACTGCTCTTTTGAGGTGCTTTGACACTGGGCAGACTGGAGGGGGCGCTCACACTCGACTTCATCCCACTCTTTGGTTCTGACTTCTCCGTGCTCTTCGGACTCAACCACTGGTCCTGAGCAAAACAAGGTATAAAACAGAAAATGTGTAACATAGAAATCATTTGTTTATTCTAGTAAGAATAATGTTGCATACCTCGTCATCACTGAAGAGGGAGCTGGATGTGGCCTTACTGGTCTGTGGAGTGGAGGCTTTAGTCTGGTGTGCTTTAGGTTTAGATTTAGGGGCAGATGCAAACAGGTCCTGCAAAAGAGAATCAAAAAGACATCAGAAAACTAGTTATTTAATGCGGAATCAAATATAATCTTGCTTGAGTGTACAATGGACATACATAAATTACAAAATTATTTTTAGACCCTGTTCAGTCCTGATAGTTCTAGTTTAATTCCATTTTAGCCCTGGTGCAGTCCTGGTCTGGTATGATCTCATCTTGGTACGGTACAGTCCTGATTTAGATCTGGTTTTATTAGTAAAAAGGTTCAGTGTGTGTCTTTCTGGAGGCAAGTCACGATTCCATGAAAAAAATAATAATTATGTTAAAACCTAACTTTGGAACGTTCTTCATTTTCGAAAATAGATATCTGTTATGGTAAGCTACTGCAGATTTCAGATTTTTTCAGTATTTCAGTGTAATAATTGCAATCAAAATAGTTAATAACATGCTTTAATTTGAGTTAATTTTTTTTTTGTTAAAGTTACATACTGTGGCTTTAAATTTAACCCCATGGTACTACTTGTGAAGCCAGCTTGAAGTTAATAAGTTTGAGAATACCTTATTTATATGGTCAACTAGTGTGAATTACTATGAAACAGTGCATTTTAGGCCAGAATAATATGTACAGCTTTATTATATTGCGCTCTATGTAATATAAATGTATAATGTAAAATTAGTGAGTGTTGTACCTCTTCATCCTCGTCATCGAATAAGGACACTGCTGATTTCTTGGTCTGGCTCTGCATTTCAGGTTTAGAATGACTTTTGGGGACAGATGGGAAGATCTGAGAAAGCAAAAACAGGTACATTATAATGAAGCACCATTCTGAGTCCCGACTGTATAAATAATTAAGCTTCATTCACACACAGTCCCCAGTAAGTTGCCGTAACACTAAGCACTGACCTCCATTCACACAGTTAGTCTCACCTGGGAGTCCTCATCGTCTGAAAACAAGCCCCTGGACTGAGACTGCGCTGTGAGCTTTGTAGAAGGCTTTTCAACCTCTGGGGCTATTCCATTCTGGTAAACAAAAACATGTATAAATATTAATTTTTGTCTTTTTGGTAACCCACAAAGTCTATTAAACTACACAACAGTAAGTGTGAACTGTCCATGAGTCATATTTCGCATAACTGTTCAGACCATTACTTTGCAGTGACAATGGGGTATGGATATGTAATTTCCAAGCCTGGAATATTCCACAGTATGACATTAAACAGCTCTACCTTACATTTGTTGAGTTACAAGTGATTTTATAGCTCAAAAATTACCATAAAAACAGGCATTCTGACTGTGAGCAGGGTTGCTTCTCCACAGATCTGACCTGTATCTTGGTCTGATTTGGTCTTCATGAAGATAAAAATGTTTAATACTATACTGTGAAACATTCTGGACAAAGAAATAACATCTCCAACGAGAAAAACATTTGATGGACACTCCAGAAAAGTTACACAGTGCACCTTTAACAACACAGATCATGTCACCTTTTGTAGTTCCAGCTAAGTCGTTTTTTTTTTTTAAGGTCAAGTTGTGGTAAAACTAAACTCAGAATAAAGTCTAATTAGAGTAAAAGAGCTTCAGACAGAGCAGTGCCTATAGTTAGCATCACACCCCCAGAGAATGTTCTCAGCTGCAAAGTATCAATACAGTATGTTTACTATTCTATTCTAATCTTAACAACAATGTCAGTAGTATCTCATAATATATTACCTGCTTCAGCACTGGTATATTCTGTCTAGGAGCTCCTTATATGTACTTTTCTCATTGCTTTTTAAAAATGTTTTGGTCTTTCAAGCTTGACATTTCATAAGGTCAAAATTGATGGAGACAGACTTCCCGCTGTGAGGACTGACACGAGCTGGAGCCTTGTGTTAAACCTAGTTTGTTTGGCATATAAAAACGTGTTGTGTGGTGTTCTACACTGAGGAGAGAGACCTGAACTCACCTGTGTGTCCTCATCATCTGAAAACAGGCCTGTGCTAGTAGGCTTCTGGGGCTGTGGAGCAGGTTTTGTAACTTCTGGAACAATCCCGTTCTATAAACACACAAATAAAACTTTTCTACATGTTTGACTGGATGAAGATATAATTAGTTAAAGGTCCTATATTAAGATAAATTGACTCTTTTGAGCTGTTAGCCGTGTTAGAATGTTGTTACCTCCTCAAAAACATACCCAGAGTTGTGTTTTGTTCCATTCACACTTGTTTGAGTAACACTTTATTATTAGTCTGTCAACATCTCCAAAGCTCAAAATGCTCTGTTCCTTGTCATGTCACGAAGTGGTAGTTTTCAAGTTAAACGCTACTTTTTATCTTTTGTTCAGTAGAGATTGGCAATTGCAGGGCTGAAAGTCTCCAAATTATTCTAATAACAGTATATGGAGTTTAAAAACACAGTGGAGCGCTTACTGTAAGACCACATGACATCACAAGGAAGAGAATGTTTTTTTTTTTTCTTTTTGAGAGAAGAACTGACAGAAGAAGAATAAAACACAACTCTAGATATCCAGGTGCGGAGTTATATTGGACAACAGCAAAAAGGAGAAGTGAGTGAGTGAGATAGCTGAAGATTTTGGTATTTTTTGGTATATATCTGTAAAAAGACAGATTAAATTTATGATTCACAAGTTTAACCTACTTTTTTCTGCATAAATAGTTATTTTTCCATGAACTCCCCTTGCCTGTCTTGTGAGTGCAGTTTGGAGAACTTTTGCCACGCCCGCTTTTTAGTTGTCCAATCAATCGGCAGGATATGTATTTAGTCCAACAAAAATGTCTTTAAATTGACTACAGTGCCAGTTAAAATAGAAAGATTTCATTATGATTTTGCTAGAGCAGACTACATTTAGGTCAATTTGGAGTACTCAGTATAACAGTGTTGAGTTCAGACCTCCTCAGATCTCTGTGGCTCCTGGCTGGTGGAGGGGAGGTGCTTCTTTAGGCCTTCAGACAGAAGGCTCTTTGTCCCGGGACCAAACAGAGACACAGCCCCAGCAGGCATCTGAAACACGAGGGAGAGACATGCTTCATTTGAGAGGTTGAAAAGGGCCTATATTCTGCTACACTGACTTTGTTGTTTTATAAAAATGTGCCCTTATCAAACACAAAATCAACTGAGTTTTTTTTTTTTTTTCCCTCTTCCCGCTCGAGAGTTCAAAACACTGGTCACACAGTCTCCAGTGTTTTAAATCCATTCACATTTACTTTCACATTTACTATAGCAGCATATTGCCTTCTAAAAATAGATCGATATCAGGTCAATATGTAGACTTCTTAGCGTATCTGCCTTAAATCTCCAGTACATAAATAAAAAATAAAAAAAACACTCAAAACTTTATTTTAACACTTTAATAAGAAGCGCTCGCTTAAAGGTTTGTGGTAAAAAGGGTTCTGGGTGAGTTTGTAGTAAATTTAAATTACATCATACCTTGACAAGTTAGAAAAAACTAGAAAGGTTGTCAAGATTATAAGGTCCAATCAATCATTCTTAAAACGTATTCTTGGTACATCTATTCAGTTACTTTCAAACACTATCCAGGCATGTTTTTGATGAGAAAACAAAAGTAAAAAGGTTCAAAACATTTTACCTGTGTCACTATCAGGGTGTGAGAGGTGGTACAGTACCTTCTTCTCTGGAGGCTTCACTTGTGGTTCCTCTGCTTCCTTCTTGCTCTGAGGAGTGGAGCTGGACTTGTGACTGAAAAGGTCTCCATCTTCATCCTCATCATCGAACAGATCAACAGCCTTTTTAGGTTTGGGCTTCTCCTTTACTGCTGAAAAAAAAAAAAAAAGAGTTTAAGGAATTATATACAGGGACAAAATCAGTTTATTTGACTTATGCCTTTGAGCTTTGAACAGAGGCGATTGAGAAGTACAGAACATAACTGCAGCTAAACTTTTCCTCTGAGTCAATAAAGTATAATCTATCTATCAGTCTATCCATCTATCTATCTATGTAGCTTTCTTAGGCAGTATGAAACAACCACGAAGTGTCTTTAAAACCTAAAATCTCACAAACAGATGTAACTGGAAGACTAGAAATAATAACCAATAAACAATAAACAATAACCAAAATATTGTGACACCGTATCCTCAAAGGTCTCACAGTAATCACATTACAATATATCGAATTACAAGTCTCTTCACTGCAGCAATAGCTAAAAAAAACAGGGGGAACTACATAGACCATTATCCTAAAATTTATCAGCACTTTGTTAGCCTCCACAAAATATCACAAAAAATATCGTACTGTGAGATTTGGATACCGTTACATCCCTACTTCTTGTCCGTCTTATCAATTTTGTCACATTTTAGTTACCAGATGTTTTGACTGAGTTTCCGCTGAAGAAGTCATCCTCCTCTTCATCATCAAACAGCCCTCCTCCCATCGGGGTTTTAGCAGCTGGAGTCCCGTTTTCTTTACTCTCCACAGGTTCGGTGTCAGGCGGTGAACCAAACAAATTATTCTCTGTGAAAAAAATTTTATTTAGATTTCGTTTAAATAAATAATGTATAATTGAAAGGATGAGAGTGGGACCTACCTGGGAATATTGAAACTCCACCAACTGGAATCTTCTTTCCAGACTTTGTGGAACCTAAACAGAGAGAAGTGGTGTTTTTTTGTTTTTGTGTTTTTCTTATCTCTAAACTAATTTATTTTTTATTTTATTTATTATTTTACAGCATCTCCTAAGTAATGGCAGGACATGTGATGATTTGATATTCTGTTTCAAGTTTAAATTTTGATCAAATGAAGTGGTCAGTTTTTGCTATGTGGACAATAGTCTGTCATTTTTTGATCAATAGTTGAGTTATAGGTCAGGCTCACCTGTAGATGGTGCTGTTGTTTTTGCGGTGTGTTGTATTTTTTCCTCCTTCACTGGTGGTTTAGGTGCATCAGAGAAAAGGTCTCCCTGAAATACACAAAATTTGTGGCAGTCAGATTTGACAAAACTTGTTTATACTCTTTCAAAATGAAATTCTAATGCATGAAGTTCTCATGCAAAAATGTATAAAACATTTTGTAGATAGATTCAAGCTGGGGTAGACTGCTAATAAAGAGATGTCTGCTCTACTCCAAGGTCAAATTTATTGAGAGCAGTAGGTTCAGAGTCATACCTCGTCATCATCATCAAACAGGCCCCTCCCCCACTGAAGAGTCCGCTCTTTACTCCAAATGGAGACAGGTCTTCCTCGTCCTCCTCCTCTTCGTAGTCCATCTTTGGAGGCTTGAACATGTCATCACTGTCCTCGTCCGCTGGAGGATACAACAGAAACATGGGACATTCAAAATAACATTATTAAAGTAAATATTTAAATGAAATGATTAAATATTTAAATCTAGGCTCCAAAACACTTCAGAAGTTATATGAACTTAATAGAAAAGGTTATGAATTACTAAATACGATAGTGGCTCAGTGGTTAGAGTAGGATCTCCCAACCCAAAGGTCAGAGAATTAAAGTTCTGTTGATATGTCCTTAGGCAAGACACTTCACCCGCGTTGTCTAGTATAATTGTGGTGTGTGCGTGAATATAGATAGAAACTCACGATTAATAAAAAAAAAAAAAAAAAGAAAGAAAATTGCATGAATAAAACACCTACCCTCTGGTTTGGCAGGCTTGGACTCTTTCCGGCTCTTACTCTTCTTCTTAGAGGACAGTGCTTTACGGATGATGGAAACACAAGTTCATGAACATGCACATGCAAAGATGGCTCACACAGTAACTTAAATATCACTCAAACAAGATGAACAACGGAAATGCAGTGCAAACAAAACCAGAGATCTGAGCCTTACATGCACGGTCCACCTCTGGTTTAATCACAGGTTCTCCTTTGATTCTAGCTGCCAGCTCATCTGCAAAGGACGCCTGGTGTGTGCTCTGAAAGACAATAAAACATAGTTATTGAATTATTTACTCTGTACTTTACTGCATATTTATGTAGTATTGTTTAAGTTAAACACTTTCTCACCTTTGTATCTTCTTCTTCCTCCTTGTCAGATTCTCCAAATATGTCGGAGTCCTCATCATCTTCATCGTCATCATAACTCAACATGGACGACTTCTACAAAATTGGATGATGAAATTAGCCTGTTACTTAACACAAAATGAAACTTGGTTTGTTGTATCCAAGTAGATTTGGAATTCACCTTTTTAATTTCCGGAGTCTCATTGTCATCCTGGTTGTAGTCTTCATCTGAATGCTGAAACACAGATAAATATCAGGACAGAAATTATAAAACAAAGTCACAAAAGTGAATACGGATGGCCACACCATCCAAGTCAACACGTTGTGCATTAAAAATCAGAAACCATCTTTTTTAACAGTCAGTTCTTTGATGCTTGATGTGTAAGCTGTGAATCCCATTCAAAATACTTAGAAAGCAACCATTTGTTCAGAAAGTGTCAGTTTGTGCTTTCAAATTAACTTTTGAAATCCTTGTGATTGCCATGATCAGCCTCCAGACAGTAAATGCAAAATTATTCAGCTCTAGTCGCGTTGATGCACTCATGTCAAAGTTGTGGCGTGCAGTGCATTTGGGGCCTAACAAGTGAAAACTAAATAAAAAATGAATTAATGAGGACTAAAACCAAGACTTAAATTTGATATTTTTGCTAATGAATCACATTATATTGTACAATAAAATTGGATATTGTTACACCCCATAAATTTGACAAGATAGTCAGATAAAACTTTATTGATTGAGAAGAAAATTCAAAATGATTAAAGTTTATTACATTTTAAATGAATCCTTACCACAGCAGCTTTGCCATCTTCACTTTCAATCACACACTGTCTCTGTCACTGTCCACGGACATTTCTGTTGAAACACACAGGGTTAACCGAATGTCCAATACAGCCAGAGTAAATATTATTCTGACTATTACCGTCACTGGAGAGGTCACCCAAGCCCACGTCGTCTTGCTCCATAAAAGCCTGGGAGCCGATTAGGTATGGGAGGGGTCTGTCTACATAAAGGTCCTGGAAGTCATAAAAAGGACACATTGATCACTTTCTACAAATATTCATGTCAAAATTTTAGACTACAGTAAATATTTTACTCTAGGTTGAGAAAATATTTTTGAACCTTGTATTAAAGTGGGGGTATGACACATATGGAGTATGAATTGCTAACTGCTAATAAATTGCTAATGTGTTCAGATCATCATGTTACCTTTTATTGTTTTGAAAATGCTATGAAAAACGATGTCATGTGGTCAAAATGAAGTACTCCACTGTGATTTTAAACACTTTCACCATAATCATTTGGATGATTTCAGCCCTGGAATTACCAATCTCTAGTGAACGTATGATAAAAGGTAGATGTTAACTTGAAAAATACCACTACATTACATCACAAAATGGAACAGACCATTTTGAGCTTTGGAGATGTAAACAGACTAATAATAAAGGATTACTCAAACATGTGTCAGAGAAACAAAACACAACTCCAGGTATGTTTTTAAATTTTTTGTAATACAGGAACAGAAATATAGGAACAGAAAATGCTTTGCTATCTACTTCGGTTATTTATTATTTTTAATAGTCTTAATTGATCTGTAATCTGTAATGTGAATAATTGTCTGACATATAGCAATACAGTACCTTGGGCTCCAAAATGGCGTCCACTCTGTCAGGCACCTCTTCGTCCTCTGAGTCGGAGTTTCCAGCTTTAATGTCCAGATGTTCAAACGCGGACTCCAGGACTTTGAGGCCATAAGTGACCGCCTCCTGCATTTTAGGGATGAGCTCGGCCTCCTTCTGCTCCTTCGTCTTCTCCTAAAACAGCAAAAACATTACAGGTCAGAAATAAGAGGACATTTTAAGCTTTGAAGTGGCTCTTGGTATTTGCATTTTCAGTTATGACACAAGGAAATTAACTGCAGAAGTATAGAACATATGACTTTGGGCAGCAGTGTATCATTTTCTTCATATTGTACTGTCAATATAATATATTGACAATATTGTTTTATTCTTTTGTATTGTCAATGTGACACTAATGGACAAATGTTTAGTAGAGAATTTTAATCATTTAGTAGGGTGCTAGAATGCTCAGAACAAGCCAGTGGTGGAGTGTAACAAAGTAAAAGTACTGTATTTAAGCCAAAAGTTTAGGTATCTGTAGTCAATACAAAGTCAATATTTTCTACTTTTACTTCACTACATTCGAGCACAGGTATCTGTACTTTCTACTCCGCTACATTTTTTTAAAAAACAGAGCTGAAAAGTAAAAGTATTTTTATCATTGATTTTTTTTTTTTTTTTTTTAAACAAATTTCAGGAAAAATCTTTATCAAAATCACCACATTTGAAGCTTTATTAACTCTCTCTCTATATTAAATAATTTTTACATTTTACTCCTTAAGTACATTTTAAATGTAAGTATGTTTTTTCATGTGATACTTTTACTTGAGTATTTTTTGCTACGGTATCTGTTCTTTCACTTAAGTAACAAAATTGAGTACTTCTTCCACCACTGGAACAAGGCTAAACACACAGGGGCTACAGGATGGTCCAGGGGTTAGATCACAGCGCAAATTAAAGATGAAATAATACTCAGTGTATGGCTGTACTCAAACTATCAATGCAGCAAATATATCAAGACAAACGTCTTAGCAATATAGGACCTTTAAGGGTGCGTACATACTTGCACACACAACATCAATATTAGGACTAAACTGGAATAAACCCTGAACAAGATCAGGACTAAAACAAGTCTATAGCAAGACGATACCAGTGTAACCTTATTATACCTGCTCGGGCTGTTTTTCTGTTGCGTCAGCTTTGGCTACTGTCTCCTCCACTTCTTCATCATAAACCCTCTGCAAGAGGAAACAGTTTATTACCACACACACAGCATTGGGTTATTGGCTTACTTGCGCCGCACAGGCTCACTCGCACCACAGGCTCACTTTTACAAATAATAAAACAGATATATACATTCTCTATGAACTGTGTATTGGACAGCATGAGGAAGTCGTTGAACACAGAATGCAGGCAGCTGTCCGTGGCCTTCGTGTCTCGGATCAGGCTGTCCAGCTGTTTTTCGATCTCGTGAGTCTTGGACAACATTCTCTGGCTGAAGTCTTGAAGGAACAGGAAAAGCTGTGAGGACAGATACAAAGAAAGTAAAGAGATGAATGATAATAAAATCAAAACTGAGATGCACCGTTACTGTAACTGAAATTGAATAGCTGTGCCAACACTGAAAAAATTAGCAGGATTGGGTATTGGTTCCTGGTTGGGCATTTAATTGGACATTATAAGACTATTTACAGGTTGATTTTGTCTCATAGTGTTTTAATTTTTATTCACACAAACTGCTTCTGTAGTCATTTGAAGGATAAATAACAGTTGCATAACACAATAGGATCTTTTGTGTAATAAGTTATAAGTTACACTTTTAACTTAACTTAACCTATTACACAATACCGTTCTTACACTGGTATTGGCTAATATTGGGTATTAACAGGTACTTAAAGTTAAAGTATTGATATCTGTATTGGAACTGAAAAATCCAGATCGGTGCATCCCAAATCAAAGCTCCATCATAAATTGTTTGAAGCCATGAATGACAAAAAACATGTCTGAATAATATCTAATAGCAAATATGATGAGACTGAGATTTGCAATATTTCATTAAAAAGTGAACTATGTAATTTTTAAGGTTACTGTCTATCCGTAGTAGTACAGCATGAAACAGCAATGCGACCAAGTTAAAGGTCCAATAAGATCTCAATGGTGACAAGTAGGTGGTGTATTCCCCACTAGAAAAGTTAAACAGAACTGAATTTTTAAAAGTAGAATAAGTGCATAATGCAAAATAACCTCTATATTGCATTTTGATAAGCACATAAGTATAAACAACTGAAAGAGACAGAATCCATTTTTATAGGAGGTCTTCACCACATTGTTGGCAGATTTTATATATAATTAGACCCCATGCAGACTGTGCATTTCGTTCCCCATCAGGGATACGTACTGAATATCTCATTTTTTTTATTCCATTTATATAACATCTGCCATCTACAAAACAATTTATACCCTCATACTAAACTATACAAAAACTAGAGTCCACTCTATCTATACACAAATGAAAGGAGTGTATTTAAAAATGGCCCAAAACATAGTATATAAGATGAAAAAAATAGGATGAAAATTGCATTCTATTGTCTAAAAAAAAGTGTCATTGTCATCATTATGGTATCAAAATATCTTTTTTTTCCTTTCGAGTTTGAATTTTGTGTGTGAAAATTATGTGACAATACTTTTACATTACTACCAATTCAAATAGACAGTATTTACCCCTGAGTCAGCTGCCAGGGACCAGTTGGCGCTGTTCTGTTTCATTTCTGCTATAGTCCACGGCCTCTCCCAAACCTGAGCGCCATTATCCACATGGTCACTTTTACTGGGGCCATTGGTCAGCCCATCTGGTAACCCACTCATCTGAAAAACAAATAAATAAATGTACAAATAAATGTCAAATGGATTTAAGATATAGGACTGAGATACATAAAAAATTCATAATATCACAATTATTGTTTTAGAGATATGCAAATCTAGAAAACAAAGTATACTATAAAAAGAGGTAGGGTTATCAGATAATCAGATACTAATCAACACTAAAACCAATATCATTAACTAGATACTCATTTGAACAGGTACCAATGCTAAAAAAAAGTCACATTCACGGGAGAGAAATTTAAACTTTCCTGAATAGCTTTAGAATGATCTTGAGCTATATCAGAACAAGTATAAGAGCACATAGACTAGTATAAACCCAGAGAGAGATTACACAGATATGAGGTCACATGGTAATATAAAATAAAGTACTATTGTTTAATGTTGAAAATGACTTTCCAGTGGTTAAAGAAATAATGTAAATGTAAAATAATGTAATAATAATGATGATACATTATTATTACATCATGGTATTGATTCTTTTTCTTAGTAGTGAAATTTTAGTTTGAAATTTTAGTATTGTAACTACACTATTTTGTTGAAAATATGATATGAAAATTATTGCACCATCATATGGAATCATTATTATCATTATACACTTAGTACACTAATACTGATATAAAAGCTACAAATTGCACTAAATTATCCAGGAAACATTGACCTAAATGGCCCATTATGCTTTTTTCTGATCTGTGTTATGATGTTCTGTTTTGTTTCATTCACACATTTTTTTTAAACCAAAGGTAAAAAGTAGCTGTTAACTTGAAAACTACTAGTTCATGACATCACAGGGTGAAACAGAGCGTTTTGATCTTTGAAGACATAGACAGACAAATAATAAAGGATTACTCAAATGAGTGAATGAAACAAAACACAACTCCAGGTATATTTTTGATGAGGTAACAACATCATAAAACAACATCATAACATGCCTTAAATCTCACAAGAGTACATACTGCATAATATAGCGAACATATTTCCTGACTATAAAAATGCGTGGGGTTACAACACGAAGCCACTTCCTCATGTGACTGTTGTAAATGTAGATTCTCTCACAGGGACCACAGGGACTCTCCACTGTCCATGCCAAGGTTCAAGTATCAAAGGGACACATTTATACTAGTAGTAGCAGTTTATTTTCTTTGGTCAGTTAACATAATCATGCATCATATAACAATGATTTAACAAAACAAAACAAAAAAACAAAACAAACAAACTATGCAGTTAATGCATATAAATAAAGTTATTCTGTAGACCGAAGGGGTTTAGGCTGAAGTTTAACACTTGTTTTGCCAAACCCTATCACGTTTATACACACAAAGTGTGACATTAAAGGCATCAGAGGATTCAGCAGAGGAACCCTCAAGTTAAGTCAAATAGTGGTTTATGATATAAAAAACTATTGTCAAACTTGCTTCAGCAGCTTCATATTATTCTTTGTTAAGAGTTTACGGCACTCAGTAGATGTGATATTTTGAAGTAATCCAGACACAGGTTATAATGCTACAGCTAATTCGACTTTTATTCTTGTCTAGGGCTAACTCTGTGAAATGTGGGAATCACTTTCTTTTCCTGAGCTGCTGTGTGCTAGCTGCTGCTCTAGCCTCATCTGCACACAACACTTGTACACAGCAGGTACGTTCACTGTGATTTTGGCCATGTAGACATGTAAACAGAGCAGTCTCCAGCAAAGCACAGCTCGTCCACTCCGCACACTGCCTCCTGGACAGTCCGAAGTTTAGACAGCCTCAAGCGGACTCTCTTCTGCTGTTAGCACTTAGCTTAACTTAGCTAGTTAGCTACAAACAACGTTAGCAACAACATCTCCTGGGAAACCCAGAGGTCTTTAAAGCCGTCGTAAGCGCCTCGGTCCCTACCTTGGCTGTTGCGTTTCACACTGTGTTGGAGAGACGGACCGTGGTCCAAACGCCCAGGGAAAGCAGATCGATAATGTAAAATTTGGCCTCTCTCTCATTGGTCTTCTGACAGGTCAGCCATGTTCTGTCTGCAGACAGTCACCTGACTGCGGTCGCTTAGCAACGCAGTGAA